AGTTTTTGATGTTGTGGTAATTATGTAATATGCGATTTTAATCTGTAGGAGCAATGTGTGGGCGCTTATCAAATATCAATATATATGCTTTTGTCTTCTATGTGTTGTTTTTAGTTCCCTTTTTTTTTCCCGTTGTGTCCTGTTTGCCATGTGGAACTGCAATCAATCAAGCTAGGAGAATATGATTAGATAAAAAGTCCTGCACATCACGTGGGTGAGGAATGTGATTCACTTGCCATATTATATTTAGGTGGCAACTCACAATTCCATTGGACCCTACCCTTTTCAACTTTTTATACACACACACACAGAATATAGTTATGATCCATTATATGAACTTGGATGCATGGAACATTATCCGTATTTATAATGTTTAGAAAACAAAGAGATCATTGAAAACTTGATGTACGGCATACTCTTATTGGCGGGCCAACCAGGGAATGTATGCCATCTGAACAATAATGTGCAATATAGTACAACTAGATAAGGAAGGCATATGAATGCGTATTGGATTTTTAGAAGCTTAATGTATTGCTGATCTGTGTGCATATGTGAAAAGTCAAGATGCGGAGAGATAAAAGGGGTCGGTGTGAGAAAATGCTGATGATGGCACATGATGTTCATTGGGTTTTCAGGTTTCATGTCGGACCATCGTCTAATTTTGTGAATCCAATCTGGACATTCTCTAATAATTGGTATCAAACTCTCAAAGACAAAACTGCCCCTGATTTTGCAATCATAATTTGGACAATGCTGGGCACATTCGTCGTTTAGGTAATTAATCATTAGAGTTAGAATTACCGGGGTATGTGTTTATAACGTAATGCCCTGCCCCTTCAATCTGAACAGGACTGGCTCCTAAAGTCATTGCCATCAAAATAGTGAACATCCGAAGCAAAAGTCTTCGCCTTATTTCTAAATAGCCATCCCTTTGTGGGTCTGGCAAGAGAGTGGGTCCCGTCACCATCAGTTGCTGCTCCATGCATGTGCTTAAAAGCTGGATCTATGGCTCTTCCCATACTCTCAGCCATAATTTTCTGCACAGCCACTTTCCTCAAAAGCGATTGAGACTTTACTGTCTTCCTTTGCTATGCCTGCTTGTGTTTTTGAAGAATGAGAATGATTATAGAAGGAAGAGAATGTGAAAATGATTATCGGCACATTATGAACGAGAAAAGGGAAAAACTTAATAAATGTTATCTCTACTGTCTGCAATCTGCATGAATACAAGTTTATTGGGTTTTGCATTCCGTTTAGGGTCAGATCTCTTTGCCAAAATCCAAATGGTTCAACTATATGATTTTCTTCCTTTTTTTTTTTTAAATTACCGCAGGAGGTGTTGATGGGAAGAGCTGAGTATTTTGAGTCGTTCAAGAGAAACGCAGATGGATTCATCTGTTCTGTATTGCCAGGGATTTCCCACGCCCAAGTTCAATATTCTCCTGGTATATATTTCTCCTCATCTCATTTTTTTTAATGGGCCACATGAATGATCGAACTACACATTCATCTTATTTTATGTAGTCTGATAAAATAATTACCCTACGGAGCAAACGGCACAGTGCTTATGAATGTGAGGGGGGAAAAGCATCATGGCCTATTGCCAAGGCCATTAATCATGCTTTACTTTTTAAAGAAAACCAAAAAAACAAAGAAATAAAGAAATAAAGAAAAGAAAAGCCTTTGATTGAGTGATTCTGTATTTACTGGCATCGGAAAATGCCCCTTAATTATTGCAGTGGGGAAGGAGCACTGTTGTTTTAGGCAACCAAAAGTGAGTAAAACTAATGCATGTCGTGGGTTCATTTTTGGAAACAGGCGGCCTCATATTCAAGGCTGGAGGTAGTAACATGCAGCATGTAACGTCGCTGTCATTCCTGCTTTTAGCCTATTCCAATTATCTCAGCCACGCCAATAAGGTCGTGCCATGTGGTGACACCACTGCCACCCCTGCCCTGCTCAAACGCCTTGCCCAACGCCAGGTACTTTCACTGTTATCTATGGTCAGACTTTTGCTTAGCTTATGCACAACACAATTGTTTGGGTTTCCCTCCTCCTCTTCTTCTTTTTTTTTTTTTTTTAAATACGATTTTTTGAGTTAATGTTTCTCAATATATTGAACTATAAGAAAATATCTTACAAGCCAGGAGAACATTTTATTTGTCAAAAAATCTAGCAGCTTAATCTGAGAAGGAATCTTTTGTGTGTGTATTGGTTAGTTTTGTTCACAAGTCTCTTTATGACTGTGTTTTATAATTGCTTATATTTATTTCTTTAACTTATAATGTTAGCAAAGTCCCCTCATGAATGGGTCCCTACTAGTGTGACACCAAACCCTTCACTTATTCCCTTTCTGAAATTTCAACATCAGACAAAAATTAACGGCTAGAATTTGTCTTTTCTGGGTTTATAGTAACTGAGTGACTGTAGGCGGGTCCCCGAACCGGGCCACCTCATCACGAGGCTAATGGTCACTGCCGATTGAGGGACAATGTGGTCATTTTACTCGAATCATGAGATAATCATGACGATCAACTAACAAGTGAATTGCACGTGGCTTAGGTGGACTACATTCTCGGAGACAATCCACTGGGAATGTCGTACATGGTGGGATACGGTGCACGCTATCCACAAAGGATCCATCACCGGGGCAGCTCTCTTCCTTCGGTGGCTGCCCACCCGGCCCACATCGGCTGCAAGGCTGGGTCTCGATATTTCCTGAGCCCAAATCCAAACCCCAATATACTGGTGGGAGCGGTGGTGGGCGGGCCCAATAATAATACAGACGCATTCCCCGATTCAAGGCCCTTCTTTCAGGAGTCGGAGCCCACTACATACATCAATGCTCCTCTCGTAGGCCTCCTGGGTTTCTTTGCAGCCCACCCTTGATTGACACCTAATGTAAATCCGCTATTTCTAGTGGTTGGCAAAGTGGTCGCCCTGTAGAAAAGATTGAAGTTATAATAGAAGGTAAATTGTGGGTAAAAAGAAGGGGGGGGGGGGAAGCAAAAGAGGTGTCATCATGGGTGGTAAGCATTATGGTTATTTGTGAAAGATTTGTGGTCATGTAATGTCCATCAATTATGAATAGTAGAAGTGGAATATGCATGCATACTAAAGTTGAATGATGAGCAATAATTTGTTCCAAAAAAGAAAAACGATAAAGGGCAGTGTTAGATTTTTAAAATGAAAAGAATATGATAACTGTGATGAAGGGGTTGTTCCAGATTACCACATCTGAGACGTTAAAATGCGCTAAAGCTTGATGGAGAAAAATTGTTAATGCTGCAAATCTATTCAGAGAAAGAAAAAGGGGTGATGTGAACCGTGGATGATGTGGGTTAGACACTTAAAGTTGTGGCAGATGTCAGAAGAGGCGCCGGAGCTTTGTGTAAGTGGAGATTGAGTCATGGTAGGAATGAAGGCCCATCACTTTAGGATCCCTATCTAAATGATCGATCACTTCATATACACTGCTCCCACCCCTTTTTATATATATATATATATATATATATATATATATATATATATAAAAGAGGCTAATTTGAAGATGTTGAGAAAGTAATGAAATTACTTAATAGTATATGTTAAATGATTTTTTTAAAACATTCATACATATTATCAGATTGACAAATAAGTGTGGAGTGTTGGGAAAAAAAAAGCTAAATAAGTTTGAAGAAAAACGATAAATATAAATATTTTAAAATAAATTAATAATTTTTTTAGTATTTCAAAATGAGTCAAATATGTATTATATCAAAGACTAAAGGTAGCATATTAACTTTTGAATTTTCTTAACCATTTACGAGTGTTGGTTGGCGTGTGATTTGCGCACAAGTTGGGAGGGAGATCATGGAGAAGAGCCATGGCGTTTACTGTTATTTATTGAAGGGAATAACTTTGTCTCTTCATTATTTAGTTATTAATGGTTCTTCCATGCTGTCGGGTCTTCAGGTCGTTCTCCATCATTTGCCCGAAACTCACTGGAAACTTGAAAATTAGTTTCCAAATTCCAATTCCCTGAACGCGTGAAAATTATTAAATGCCTTGACCAGTGAATGGGGTGCATGTGAATGAAATATGAATCCCGCGTGCTTAAAGATGACTATAAATTGATGACATTATTAACAAATATTAACTTATAAGACCTCATTTGTAAACTATAAACGGGTTTTGTAATTACATGCGTTCCATCACCCAATTAATGCTAATTAATGAATCCTATGGATAACAGTATTTCTCTTGTTTTGTTGAATTTTTTTTTTTTAAAAAAAAAGCGGCACCAAAAAGTGACTAGGAGAACCCTCAGAGCATTATTTGAGCAGTTAGTTTGGTCCCATCCCTTGCTAGGAGTATCCTGTACACTGCACACACGGCTCATGAAAGTGCCGAGCTGCAGAACAAGGGCGAAGACTTTGAAGTCCACCTTCCTAGGTCCACACCGTCCGTCCCTTTCTTTATAAATGCATTGCCCTTCACATATTTTGCCTTATCAAAGCTTCACTCAACCAAACTTGGCCCTCCACGTATCCCTATTATCTTTTTCCTCGAACTTGCTTCCTTTTTTTCTTTTTAGATAAGTTTTATTTATTTTTTTCCCTTCTTTCTTTCTTTATGCTCTAACCTTAAGTAACCCAGTCCTTATATGACTTCAACCATCAAAATCATCTCAAATGATTAATAATAATCTAAAAAAAAAAAACTGAGAATAGAGAGGTTGGCCAAGAGAGTTCTTGAATTTAATTTCCAAAAAATCTATATACACACCACCAGTAATATTTATAATATTCACACTTTTCAGGAGTAGTGAATTTTCTATATTACAGCATACCTCTGTTGAGTTGTGGCGGTCTTGTGATATTATTCTATGATGCAGACACGCCTCAGATGGGACCTGTGCATCCAAACTTGACTTTGACTTGGTATTGTATCAAATATCAATTCCAGAATAGCAAGGTAGTTAGAACCGGTCCTTAACGCTGCTTGCTTCTTCCTTATCTCCTCCTGTCCTGATACATAATGCCCCACCCTCCATCCTCATCCTCCTTATTATCTTTACCTTTCTCCTTTCTGCTCTGTCTGCATATCTAACTCTCTCTCGCTGGCATAATTATATTGCCGAACCATCATGTATTCCCAAAACCCAAATGCCTACGGGAAGCCCAACAACGCCCCGGCGGCCGCCACCACCGGCTTCCCCATGAGCGCCCCCTCCAACTCCTACTACTCCACCGACTCTTACAGCTCCGAACCCACCACCAATTCGCAGTACCAGCCTTCCACCCTGCCCTCCTACCATCTTCGGTCCAAGCCCCGAGTGGACTGGTCCACCGGCCTCTGTGACTGCACCTCCGACGTCAAGAACTGTATGTAACAACTCTCCTGTGCTAGCTCCTGATGACTGGGCCAGAAGTACAATTTGATGATATTAATAATAGCCAGGCCATATGCATATATATGTTTTTGCAGGTTGCATCACGTGCTGGTGTCCTTGCATCACGTTCGGGCAGATCGCAGAGATACTGGACAAAGGCTCAACATGTACGTGATGAGTTTGAATTAAAGTTAAGCAATTCCCTTAATTAATATGTCTGGAAACTTTGAATGAATGAATCTGTGAATGGAATGGATGAAATATGCAGCTTGCGGTGCGAGCGGGGCACTGTACACTCTGGTGGCGTGCGTGACGGGATGTGCGTGCCTGTACTCCTGCTTCTACAGAGCCAAGATGAGGCAACAGTTCTCCCTCAAAGACCAGCCTTGCTGCGACTGCCTGGTTCACTGCTGCTGCGAGCCCTGCGCCCTGTGTCAGGAGTACCGCGAGCTTCAGAATCACGGCTTCGACATGCTCATCGGATGGCATGGAAATGTGGAGCAACGCAACCGTGAATTGGCCATGGCCACCGCGCCGCCGGCGGAGCAGGGCATGACACGATGACTTTCTTCCTCCTATAATGGCTTCTGCCTCAATATTCTTATTATAATCATATTTTTAATATAAGAGCTAGTTAAACGTGTTAACTAGAACTATCATTATTATAATGATTACATTAAAAAAAATAAATAAATATGATAGATAAGATAGATTTGAGTCTTATATTGTGGACCAAAATAAAAATCAAATAAACTCTTATATTAAAGATGGAAGGCAGTATCTATTTATGTACCAACATCCAGACATTTTTCTTAGGTCGTTGTGAGCTTTTTTTTTTTTTTTGGTAATTATGTAGTCTCTCAACTACGTCGTCAGGTTATAGTAGTATAGTTTTTCACTTGGTCCGGAATCTTTGGTAGACGCCTGTCTCATGAAATTGTCGGTCTTCGAATAAATTTCCCCAAATGTATTTATAAATCAAATTTATTTTCTGGTTAATTAGGCCCAGTTTCATAAAAAATGAAGTCCAATGGAAGCCCACCTTGGGTCCAGCTATTAGTCAGATTCAAAGTAAGAGGGTGTTTAGCAACCTCCAAACTATAGTTTCAGAAACATTTTTCTGTAAAACGAGACAAATTCTTCTACATATTTACTTTGTAAATCGTAAAAACACTTCTGAAACCATGATTTGGTTTCTATCCAAACACCCCATAAATAACACGCCAGAAACTCAGTCACATCTCAAAACGGATTGTTGACCCAAGAAAAAGATGACTTGAAAATTGATACAGCCACAGGTTTAGATGAAATTTCTATAGTAAATGGTCAGCAACTTCCCCTATGTGTCCCCATTGTGATTCTGATATGGAAAAGGTTGTACATATTCTTAGAGATTGCAGATATGCTGGAGATTTGTGGCTCCGGCTGCTGCACCCAAGGTACGTGCTATTTTCTTTGCCGCTCATTTGAAAGACTGGTTTGCTTTAAATTTCAAGAGCGATTTGAGTCATTACTTGTCTGGTATGTGGAATCTGATTTGGGGGTGGCCAAGTGACATTTATGGAATTGGAGAAACAAAAGTGTGTTTGAATAGGACTATGATAAGCCGTCTAATCCTGCCTTAATTATTCTTCAAACTTGGAAAAGATTTAACCAGGTGCAAGATCCTGATTTTCCAATTGTTGTGACTGATGGTTGCCGTTTAATTTGGCAGTTGCCACCTATTGGGTGGGTTAAGATTAATGTTAACGGAGCAGTAAGCTCTTCCAATAGGAAATCTTGTTGTGGGGAAGCTAGTCGGGATCATTCTGGAAAATGATTGTTGGTTTTACTCATTTTCTCAGTTATTCCATTACTTATGAGGCAGAGGAGTGGGCTGTTTAAAAGATTGGAAATGTAGTGTAGACCCAACTAATGTTACTATGTCTATTTTATTCATATAATTTATGCAAACCTTCACTCTGGTCCCACCTTTTAAAAGTTTTCAAGTTAGCCTTTGTTATTTTTCATGCTCTCTAAGCTACCCCCATATTTGACTATATTGTTACCAAGTCTGTAACCAGATGTGGGGAATTCTGGATTGATGAGTATGGACGAAGGGAGAGTATAAATCCATGTGTTGGTCCCGACTTCTTTTTCTCCCCATCAAAAATTATGTTGAAGATATTGCCACATTAGGTCCAAAGCAAGAGGTTCTGCGCTTGAAAAATACTCCAGTTGATCTCACATCCATCATATACTTTCAGGACTAGAATTTATAGATATCAAAATTAGAAGTAACCTACCAACGGGATTGGGTCTAGCGATATGTGTTAGTTTTTCACAGCGTGGTGAATCAAGGTTCGAATTCTTACTGAGAGAGGTGTTCACATTTAGTGCCCTACAGTGTCTTGAATAGGATTGTCTTCAATAGGAGAATACCTATACTTTAACCAAAAAAAAAAGAAGTAAGCTAACATATTAATTAAAAAAAAAGCATGAAATAAGTAATTTGTTGAAAAAAATCATTTGCCATGATTTCCTTTAAATAAAGTATCTATAATAGCTTAAGCACATAAAATAAACACAATGCCATGGCCTTAAAATTTCAGAAAGATAAGTACTTTGTATTAAAAAACAATTATATTTGAACCATGGTTAAATACTAAATATAGCTATCTCCCACAGTCAAAATAAAGAATTTAGATGTTAATTCGTCATATGCTACGTGTCGTTATACTAATATAATATAAGAGGGGCCAACGTGACCCTCGTCCCGCAATCATAGTTGTACTGTCCCAAAAAGTTTCAGTGTCCCCCTTGAAAAAGGGCACCGGCCTTTTATTTCAGCAATTTTAATAGAAGGAAAGATTTCTCACCTTTTTTTTTTCAAGAAGAACTAAAAAAAAATTTCTCATTACAAATTGAATTAGCAAATTTAGAATAATTAATTATATAAGAAAAGATTAGTTGTATACAAATAAAGATAAGTTGCATAAAAAGAAAATAGTTTCCACCAAATATTATTTAAATATAAGAGATTAGTTTACACATAAGGAAGATGACTTGTATATAACAAAATTTTATTTGCACAAAAAAAAATTGAGTTACAGATATTATAAAAAAATTATTACATATAAAAAAAGATAAATTACAAACAAAGAAATTGCGTTGCACACAATAGAAATTAAATTTTATAAAATCCTTAAGTCTTATTTACCCGTTAATTTACCAATACGGGATTTATTTCCAATTTTTTCAGGAACTAATTAACCTCTGTGCATGCGTTCCATTCCACTCTCTGTAATTATAAATTAATCCCATAATTTTGTGAAATATGATGACGAAATTGGCATGTTTTAACTTTCAAGAGATTCTTTTCAACCCCAGTTGCTCTGTTTACGCTGCTACAAGACCATGGACAGCGTGAGGTACGGATATTTATCTATTTATTTGGAGAGGATGGCAAAGTAACTTTGTATATTTTGGCTGGAAAGATGGCATCATAATTAAAATGGACAACTCGTGGGAAGGATGGGCCACCATTACCGGTGACTTCGATTTGACTTTTTTTTGTTTTGTTTTGTTCTGGAGAGGAGAGGGGGGTGTTTCCAAAGTGGGGCAGGTTTCGATTTTTTTGTATCCTGTGATTATTACGTAGAATAATTAAACTGTGCAAAATATTTAGACTTCATGTATGGATATTTTGTATATTTAAACTATATATTTTTCCCATGCCATGCATGCATTAGAATCAGAAGATAATAATTTAGTTTTTTAGATGACTGTATTCAGTGTTCATCTTTTTTTCTCCTAACATTTAAACAGCAATAAAATATTTAAAAATTTGAAAGAACAAAAAATGTTGCCCAAAAATACAAGAGAAGAAAGGTTGGGGGAAAAGAATTAAATTTAAAAATTTATTGGATATTGTTTACTCTGAGAATTTTTTATCAGAAAAAATAGATGAAAATCCCTCATTAAAATGTTTGTTGCCCAAAAATAATTCACTTTATTTAAGGACCTAGATTATAAAAGACATTCTTAGTCATTTAATTGTTAATTAGATGTTCTCTAGGCCTAACAGGACCTAGGTTATTAAAAAGATTCGAAAACTTATAAGCAACACATTTTTCAAATGGAGATTTGTGGGCAATTCCTCCTTCTTCTTTTTTTTTTAATAACTTCCTAACCTGTAATAATAACTCGTATTATTTTATCTATAAAATATATGATGTTATAATTTTTTTTTGAAAAAAAATTAATTTTTCATGCATCTAATTAACTATCAATTATCAGCTATACTCTTAAAAACTTATAATCCTCAATTCATTTGAAAATGGGTCGGGTATAATATTATTGGATCCAAATATATTTAATTAATGAAATTTGAATAACATATTAATTGAAATTTGAATATATTGAATTAAATGAGAAACATTATAAATAAATGAAATTCAATTAGAGACTTAAATGAAGAAATTAATAATTAATTTTAAATTTGAATAATATCTTAATTGAAATTTCAATATATTGCATTAAATGCAGAGTATCATAATTAAATAGTATGTCAATTAAAACTTTAAATGGAAAAATAAATAAATGATTTTAAATTTTTATAGGTTCCTCCTAAATTCTGCATTTCTAATTTAAGTTCTATTTGAGTGAATAAAAAAATATACTTCTCTAAAAAGTAGGTCTTGAGCTATAATAGATAATGTAATTTATTATAATTTTAAATATAATCAAATATGTTAATCTGTATATTGTGCGGGAAAATTTTCTAGTTTCCCTTTAAATTTTGAATTGCATGAAACCATCGCATTCAACTCATTACCAAAAAAAAAAAATTCCACGCACATAAATGTAAACGGTGTGAGAAAGTGAAGTTTGAAAATAAAAAAAATTATTTATGCATAATTCAAAAGATATAAAATACGTGGAATATAAATATCGGCTAATAAATTCTCCGCAAATTGTTTATTTGTAGACTGGGTCAACGCTTTGCCCAACGATTTTGTCTACACGCAATGGAGACAAGAGAAAAACGTATTAAAAGAAACAAAGCGATAGATAGATAGATAGAGGTAATACGCAAACAAAACCCGGTGCCCGAATCCAACGAATACATTTATTTGCAAACACTTGTTTCTTTCTCAATCTTCCTCTGTCTCTGTACACTTCCCTCTTGCTTTTCTTGTCTCTTTTTCTTTTTCCTTCCCTGGGGCCTTTTAACAAACTGATGGAGGGCACAGCCTACTTCCTTTCCTTTGCCATTGCTTTAAGCTGAAATTTCAATTTCTGGCTCTCTATCATCTGAAGCATATACTGGGACAGAGAGGAAAAGGGATCTTCTTTCTGTGACTGATGAGAGAGGATGGACGCAGCAGGGGAGGAGCTAGAGAGAAGAAGCAAGTTTCTAAACAGTCTGATACTGAAGAAGAAAGCCGTCGACCAGCAGGAGCATCATGATCGCCTCAATGTTCGTGTCAGAGCTTGTGACATGCCTCTCCCTCTGCAGAACCGCGCTTTTCGTTGCGCGCGTGACCACCTCGATTCCATGCCTGGCAAGAAGCTCGACAGTAAACGTCTCGCTCTAGCACTCAAGAAGGTAGCTTTTTGTTCATTATGTTATTTTAGTCTCCTTGGAAACTTTCCTTTTTCTAAATCTGTTTCTGGGTTCTGAGTTTTTATGTATCCGTACGATGTCCTGTATAATGGTTTATTTGGATTTTGGAAACTTTTGGATTTTATGGAACGTAATCAGATATCCCACATAGGTTAAAATAAGTCTAATCTAAAGTAATCTGAAGTTTCCATAAGTTAAGGATACTCATTAATGGAAGGGACCTACTTTTCAGACTAGTTTTATTCAGCTGGATGGAACTGAACTATCATTCTGGGTGGTGTTAATCTATGCTTATAGGGCTTCTGGTAGGAATTGCATGCTAAAATGCACATGATCTAATTGTTTCTTTCTATTGGCAAAAAAAAAAAGGGTTTCTTTCTGTTTGGTTGGGTAATTTTTGCTGGTGATGTGAAACAAACTGGATATCAGGACACTGCAAACAAACTTGTAGTGCTCACATAGTGGATTCACACGCTCTGGTACACTGTAGGGGGTTTGAGCTGTATAGTTTTTCTTATTCTATTGGAAAGTCCATTAAGCTGAAGATCTTATTAAAAAGGGAAAGTGTCTTTTTAGGTTTGGCCCTTCTCTGGTTCCCTTTGGATGTGAGTTTTTAATTATAAAGCATGAAAATGTGTTAAATAAGTACAATGTATAATTTAGACCTTTCCAGCTAACATTGAGTATTGAAGAAACTTGAATGACCAAAAGATATTTCATGCTCATGACCATTAATACATTCACGTGATTTGTTAGATTCTGCTGGTGATATTGAGAATCTTGTTCCTCATCTCATTACTAGGGCACCAAGGTTGCTAGACGAACTTTGGTTATACCTTTACGCTGCCTATTACTTGCACAGCTTGCTGATCTTGTTTGTCTTTTGTATGCCGTAGAATGCGGGGTCTTTTATGAATGAATTAGGGTATAGTCGTTGCAGTTTATGTCATTTTGACCCAGTGGATGCTTGATCTTGCTGTTTCTAAGAACTGTGTACAGCTAGTCTAGAATGCATTGGATTCGAGTATGCTGTTTTACAATGTCATTAAATTGAAAAAAAATTGCAATTCATGCTGTTAATTTACGTGGAGTTCATTAACTTTGGTTTAGTTATCCTTTGATCCTAGCCATGGAAAATGTCTTAAACGTAATATCGCCATACTGGTTTTGATATATCATGTCAAAAACTATGACAGAACAACTTCTTTGACAAATAATTATTGTTATAATATGTAACATGTTTCACTTTACAAGAGGGGATCTTTTAATCACTAGCTAGCATAGTAGGGGTTGATTGGCCCTTTGTTGTAAAAATTAGTACAGAGGGGTCCTTTGATCTTATTCTCCCTTTGTTTACCTCCAACTTTGCATTGTGGAAATAAATGAATCGCTTGTTGGAACTCTACTAGTTTTAGCATTGAGAATTTTTTCTAACCTTGGACAAATTTTGCACATCTTCCTTAACTAATATCCTTGGATAGAGGTCATGATGTAAACTTACTGGTCTTTACAGGAATTCGATTCTTCTTATGGTCCAGCTTGGCACTGCATCGTGGGTACTAGCTTTGGTTCCTACGTTACACATTCTCTTGGTGGTTTCTTGTATTTTTCCATCGACAAGGTTTATATCCTTCTCTTCAAGACAGCTGTTGAACCGTTAGTTCATTGATGAATTCTAGTTGGTTTTTTTTTTTTTTGGCGTCACATGTTTGTCTCTTTGCAGGATTATAACTTCAAAAAGATTTACCATTATGTAAAATCACAAAATGGAAATATCAAGACTTCTATAGTCTGTGGTGTATTTGATGCGCTTCAATTTGTAACTGTTTCTTGTTTTTCCCCCTCCTTTTCTTTTTGGGTTTGGTTTATGCCTTTATGGGAAGGTGTTGAGTGTAAAATTTGGGGTGACAATGCAAGTCACAGCACACTGGTTCACCACAGAACGATGTTTACTGAATTTTCTTGGACCGATAACAAAATACTGTTGCTAGCTGGTCCTGATCCGTACAGCAGGTCGTGCTTTATGAAGCATCTATGATCATCAACCATGGCTAAAACTTAGCCTACAGTTAAGAAGGACGGAGACTGATATGGATGCGGGTAATAACATGGAAATAAACTGTACTGATCCCGAAATATCTGGTAAGTGTTTGTGTTTAAAGTATTGTGTTAAATCTAATAAGAAGCTTAATGACGCAATGATAGCCTAAGCATGGTTCATGTATATCAGAAGAATTCAAGATTTGATCTTTCAGAGATGAATATGTAAGAGCAATATTGATGACCATCGCCCCAAAGTATATAAATAAATGCGACGGGTCTGTGCTGAACCAGTGATGCTCTTCCAGCGAAACATCAATAACTCTCTGTGTTTGATGTATCCAGGAAAAAGATAATTGTGTCGTTTTAGACAGAATGTATGGACCCCCCACAAAAAAAACCACCACCCCAATATATGCATGTAGTTAGTATTCATGATTGAGTTAATTAATTTGAGGAAATTTAAAAAAAAATAATTTGAAGTATTTATATTTATTATTTTTTAAAACTAATTTACTTAATTGATGAATTAATATATAATTTAATTACCCAAGGTAGTAATGCAGTATTGCTGTTTTTGTTATTGAGCACTCTCCTTTATGCGCCTTGGATATACATGGACGCAAATTTCTCCCACATAAAAATTGGAGGTTTTTCTTTTCGTACATTGAGTCCGCTACTTGAAAATGTAACTCCACTGATAGGAATAGGATGCAGTGGATGTTTGGACGGAATTAAAGTAATGATTTTAAAATATTTTACAATATAGGAATGGAAGAGTTTATTTGTAAAAAAAAAAAAAATTTTATAGCTGCCAAACATCCCGTGAATCTTAAGACCGCCTCTCTGATCTTCTTCGTTAGCCAACCCAGTTCTTTTACTTTTGGCTGGTCAAATACGGGCCTGATGCGACGTCACATGATGATTGTGTTCAGCTCCAAGATTTCACTCATTCGTATTTTATTTTAGACTTTTAGTTACAAAAAAAAAAAAAAGTTAAGCACCCATAACACAAATGGCATCTATGGTTAAGCATCAAGGCGGGTAAGTTTCTGGGAAAAAGGGCGGGGGGTGGACGGGTGATAGCAGTGGGGGGTCCCCCCTTATATGGAAGAAAGGTTTTAAATTGTTAAAATAATAATAATAATAAAACATAGAAAACCCTAGGAAAAATGCCATATAAAAAGAAATTAAAAATTATAATATTCTAATTCAGACGCTTAAAAGTTAAAAATTTGAGGAAAAAAAAGTAGTGTCTGACCTGATATTTTATAAATATAATCAAATGACTAAAATACTCTTATATCATGTTTAAAAAAAAAGCTATCAAATTTTTCATGTTAATAATTGTTATTGCCAGTTTACAAACTTATTAATAAATAATTTGTCATTATCAGTATATTTCTTGTTATTTGCTATGCAATACTTGTCATCATCAATTACAACTTATTAGCAAACTTTTTGATACAATGCTATTTTTGTCATTTCACTATATTTATAAAATATCCAATTAGTATCACTTCCTCTAGTGAAAATTTGACATCTTAAATACCTGAATTTGAAGATTGTTTTTGTGTTATTTTTCCAAAACTCCAATAAGGGTCGAGTGGGTTGCCATGTGCTGGTGTGAGTGAAAAGTTTCGGCCTGATGAACTTAAAAATGACCTTCTGAACTCGATCTTTATTCTGACCAGAGCAATTAAGGAACCATCTTTTTCACTCACTCACACTCATGTCCTGCAACCCGCCCAATCTTTACTAGAATGTTTTTTCTATAAAATTAAACAATTAAAATTTCGTGCCTCCCCGTGAGAGTGAAATCCCAAGCCAACAGATTGCATGCGTGCGCCACGACGGAAGCTGCATAATTAATTACGAACTCATCCTTCCGAGAATTACATTCACATCACTCTTTCTCGTAGATATATGAAATTTACAGTTCCGTCACATATAAGTAACAGCAAAGCATCAACCAGCAAATCGGAATACTGCGCAACATCTGATGGATTCGTCTTTGTTCTGTTCGCGTCTGCTTTGTGTTTGTCTTTTGGGAATTTACTAAAACAGTCAACATAAAAATTCATCAAATGTCGCCCAATTACTTTGGAGCCACACATTTCTTCCTCTATCTTACCGACATTTGTCCAAAAATGACTATGAATATTCCTCACCTTGATAAGCCAACATAATTCCATTAAAACCATGGAGGAGTTTCCGAAACCTTCCTCCTCTTGTCTCGGCCTGACAATTTCGCAAGCAAAAGCAGAGCCTCCTAATGAGGCTCTGTTCCTCGTACTGCCTTATCTTTCTGTGGGGGAGCTTCTCGCCTTGTCGCAGGTTTGCATCTCACTCAGAGACGCAGTGAACGAGGATGTTCTGCCCTGGCGCAACTTCCTTGTTCGGCCCCCTCTCAGTTCCAATCTCTCCGATCAGATTTTGGTCAGGCTTGCTTCTAAGGCTAATGGGGGCCTCACAACTCTTGGTCTCATCAACTGCACCAAGATTACAGATTATGGGCTTCAAAGGGTTGTGGAAGAAAACCCTTTTATAAACAAGGTTATCATTTCCAAACCAATGCTTTAGCCTTTCAATTTTTGGTGTTCATTTCATGCTCTGCATCTCAACTTGAATTGAAGTGTTAAATTGGGTTGAGGGAGCGAAGTTGAATGGATAACAAAGGTCTTGCTATCTTATCCTTTATTTTCTGTTGTGTGGGCTATTGAGTAAGTTGAAAATTTGATGTTAAGTTGAAATAGATAGAAATGAAATTCTTTTACCGCCCAAGGGAATACAGAAAGTTACGTTTGCATTAGTTTATTTTTAGTGATTTTGTCAAAATCAATAATTCAGTGACTTGAACAATGTCTCATTCTTGTTTCATATGATGAATTATATTCTTCTCATTTGAGTATATCAAATGAGGACCCCAATTAAGGCATGGAAATAGACAAAAGAAACATGAGTGGGGATATGTCTAATTGGGCGCAAAGAGATCCCAATTGCAAATTCTACATGTGATGTTTATATGTCAACTTGGTGAAGAAATCTGCATTTCGGCTGATGAGCTTTGAGATTCAGACTTAGAATGTAACGCTATAAAATTTATGGAAACAGAATACAGTTCCTTATACCCTTATGTTCACATCTATGATTACCATCTTGACAAGGGTTCACTCGCTAGCTCTTGACAATCTTGACTCTCTCCGGAAAAGGAGTCTAAAGTCTGTTTGGGTGAGTGAAACGAAAGGGAAGAAAATAAACCATTGAAACATATTTCTCGTTTTGCTGTCATTAATAAGAAAGAGCCAATAATTAATGATTTTAAACTAAGCTTTTGAGGTTCTTCGATGTCCTCCTTTCTTGTATTTTGAAGCTCATCATTTTGGAGTTTGAATTCTATGTTTCATTTGGGTGTAGCTCTATCTTCCATCATGCACTGGCATAACCCCTGAAGGACTTATAAGAGCAGTTAAAATGCTGTGCCAAGGAAGCCATTCCCTAAGCACACTAAGGATAAATGGAATCCACACCCTACAGAAAGAGCATATTGACATGCTTAAGCTTTCCCTTAAAAGGACCCTGCCATTGGAGCCTATGTACTACCATGAACGCAAAAACTTGTCAGCATTCAGGAACAGAACAGAAGAGGAGACCGAGCGAAACATGGATTTGGAAATCTGTCCAGGATGCTCTGAGGTGAGAATGGTCTATGACTGTGCAAGAGAAACCTGCAAGCGGAGAGACCTGAATTTGGGTCGGTGCAAGGCATGCATATTTTGCATTCCAAGGTGTGAAAACTGCGGGAAATGCCTTGGCTATGACGGAACAGAAGAGACTGCTTGCGCAGATTTGGTGTGCTGTGAATGCTGGCTCAAGCTTCCCAAGTGCAATTTCTGCAACAAGCCCTACTGTAAGCAGCACACAGATTGGTGGTGCAGTTTCTCGGAATCCGGACTCATCTGCAGAATCTGTGACGAAGAATCTCATGAATACATGTTAAGTTCTGATGTTTTGTGATTAAACTATGAACATCTAGAGCAATTCCGTTCATTCATATACCGCCTAGAGCTGGAGATAAACCACAATGTTAATGACTTCTATGTAGTATAACTTTCTCTACAACTTCTATTAGATATGTTAATTCGCAATTGATAATGATATGTAGGGCTTTCACTTTCTTGCTTGGAGCCGACGAATTTCTATAACTAGTACTATAGATTTTAATGAGAGAACCAGGATAAGAAATTATGTCTCTCAATTTACATTGAACCTGTTCATTCGTGAGATTAAGAAAGGAAGAGGCTTAATAAAGTATATACTTAGCCGATTATTAGTATAAGACTTATTTAACTAATTTGATTGGATTAAGAAAGCTAGGTAAGTTAGTTAATTATAAGAAATGTGACATATTTTTCCTAAAATACTATAATGATCTTTTTAATATCATCTCTTCTTGTTCTACTTAATAATGGTTGAGGGAGTATCATAGAAGTAATTTAAAAAAAATTGATAAATATGAAAAATATGTCTTATATTTAGAACTAAAATCAACTTAATAATTAGGTCTTATATTAAAGACCGAAAAAGTACTTATTTTGCCCTCCGTGAAATCTGATTTAAGAAAGAGCGATACTTTTTGCAAACTATGAATAATTCAATTTACCATAAATTTTATAATATCTCTGGCCCAAAAAAAAATTATAACATGTCATTTAGCCCTTTATCTAATGTTTGATTGAGCGTATGCCAGGTAAGATGATTGATGATATTAAAAAAAAGAAAAATGTAATTAACTTTAATAATAAAAAATAATGATCATGCCCCTACTTCATACAATAATTAATAAAATATTAATCACAAGTTACATACATCGATTAACTTCGTTGTACATCAGGTTAGGCTTTGGTATAATTTCAACTAAGCATCATGCGAGCGACAATTTAATAGAACTGAGATCATACCAAGGTCATTCTAATGGATACCCGAAGAAGAGAGCGCTGATTGAAGATCAAAGAATACAAACTCGTCAAATAATACCTTGGGTTTGTTTGTACAAATTCCAGCGGACAACTCGTGATACAATTTGCCCATATACATTTTAGTCACCCTTTGCCATTCACAGACAAACCCTCTACCTGAAGAACACAAAACTGGGTTTGCTAGCAAATCTTACCAGAAGGCCCCTGGAGAGAGCATGCCTCCATAAATTATAGTCCAAAATGAACCTTGTTTACATGACAAGTGCACTCAGATGTAAAAGACCTATTGTAATCACGAAGCTTGGCAAAGAACCATCCTTGTAGTAGTATTGTGACAAGCAACCTGAATCTGTCATATTGGACGAGGGAGCCAGGGATGTGCCATTTATGCTCGTGCCGTTTTTACCATCACTGTTTTCCCAGAAGAAGAAGAAGAATAGCTCAGCATGCATGTATAGTAGCATATTTCAAAGCTTTCTCTTTTGCGTTGAAAACTAGAATTAAAAAGTGAAATTGCTACGGTGCCTGGCAATTATAAACAACTAAACAGGAAAAGCACTAGTCCAAAAGCTAGAGATCATACCTTCCAGGAAACACACAAGAACCATGACCTGTACCAATTATAACGTGTTAGATGCGTTAGATTCATTCTAATCAATTTGAATCTGACAACTAATGCGTGCTTGCTTTTAAAAATGGCCACAACATAATGTGGTGTTTCAACAGACTCTTTCAGAAAGTCAATTGATAAGTAAGAATTGAATTCGAAAAACTTCACATGCGAAGCATGCTTTTTGACGCATAACTAGTTTTAGTGAAACAATAAAGTCCATTTGGCAATCTATTATTTTAAGAGTATTTCATTCACCATCGTTACCACACTTGTCAAGTGATCATTCAAATTCTCTAATTATTGTGCGCAAACACGCATTTTCCCTTTTCTACTTAGTGTTCTGCTAACTTGCCCTCAAAATGTACATAAAGAGACGGCATACATACTTGGGTCTGTAGTGGTGACACTGGCAACCCCTTTGAAATCGCAGGTCCCAGCAGACTTAGCCATCATCTGATAATATGCATTGAACGCATATGTGGCATGCGCTACCACATTATTTGGTTCGTAACACGGTTGACCCTCTAGCAAAGAAGAACAATCCACCTTCCCCGGTCCACAAGCCCAATCAAGTCCAGCCTGGAGCTTTTTAGGGTCAGCATCATTCTTGGCAACACAAAAGGTCTGGTTTGTAGTATCATTTGCCAACACAGCGCCAGCCCCAGTCAAGTGTAACATGTAAACCGGTGCACCATTGGCATAAAATAAACCCCAGTTCCTCTCGGACACTGGACCTGGTCTCAAGTCTTCATTAAACAGCTCATAGATATAAGTACTAACAGAGATCTTTGGATGTTTGGGAGTGCCCGTGTTGTTGAGGACATGTCTAATCAAGTTGCTGTTGTACGTATTGGCATTGTCAATAGTGGCGTCTCGCTCAGAGGAATCACCTCTTGAAGGCCATCCTGATTCAGTCACTACAATAGGGATGTCGGAGAAGTTCAAATAGGACATGGCAAAATACGCAGCATCAACCACAGCATCAAACACATTAGTATAATGCAGGAGGGTGTTGGCATCAACAGCCTCTTTGTTTGGAGGCAAAGGGCGAAACAATGCGTAATCAAGGGGGATTACACCTTTTGATTGCATGTAATCATAGTAAGGATATACATTAAGCATGAAATATGAATTTGTAGATTGCAAAAACTTAAGCAAGGGAACTAAGACTGGATTCCAAGTGCGGTTAAAAAATGCTTGTGAAGGAGGGAACGAGTCAATGATGATGGAAGATGAATGAGGAGTAGAGACCTTAATTTGTTGGTCAAGATTAGCAGCAACGAGGGCAGAGTGAATGAATTTAAGGGCAGAGACCAGGACAGGAGCTGCATTTGGGAGGGTAGTAAGGACTTCTGATCCTACAGCTATGGCCGTTATGTTGGTTGAAGGGTAATGAGCTATGACATTGCGAGTAACCCAGTTTGCTGCGGTGGCATTGGACTGACCAATGCCAAGGATCTGGTCGTTGGGGACAGAAACAGTTACTCGGATTCCTGTGTTGGCAAGTGCAAGGAGCATGGCTCGGTCAGCATCGTAGAGCCTCACATGTTGGATGTTCTGAGACTTAAGTAAGGTTACAATCTGTGTTGGATTTGGCATGTCAGAGACATCTGTCCCAATGTTGGCTCCAACAAAGGCATCTGCAAGGGCAATAAAATGACTATAAATGAAGAAGGATCTTGGACAGTAAGATCATTCAAGACAAGGAGGGGTTACAATATTGAAACGAGCGAGAAGCAAATGACCACATCAAACTAATCTCAAACCACAAATAAGAGACAAAAGAAAAAAATTATGCAAATGCAGCAACCATCCACAATAGATAGAATAGGAAGAGCAAATCCAAATATGTAGTTTTTTTCTTTTTTTTTTAAATTTCCTATTCTTTTACCAATCAAAACATTTAGCTCTCTTAGCATATATACATATGTCACAGTTAGATAAAGATTATCGGTATCAACTTAAGGCAAGTTATTTTCTGTTGCTGCTATTTAAGGCAATTTGAAGAACGCAATTCAATGTATTATACTTCCCATGGAGAAACTAAATACACAAACCTTTAGAAAAAAAATAAAGAAAAAGAACTAGTAGGAGATTGCGCAATGGCCAATGGGGATGAGTTAGGGATTTAAAATTCATTTTCCTTTTCCACCATTCACTTGCCCTTTTAAGGATTCTATTCTATCCTATCCCTAAGAAAAGTTTAATTTCCTCCTTGTTCACCAAAAAATAAACTTCTTTCGTAAAATCTCAAAATAGTGTACCAGTACAGTCTTCTTACTGCAATCAAGGACAAATCAGCTTGTCGTTAGTGGGATTTCAATGAACCTTACGAACAATGTATGAAATATTTACATTCAAAGAAGTGTATGATTATATTTGAGAAATAATGATTCCAAAGGTGGAGAATGATTTGCTCATCAGAAAAGTAAGGCCTAAATTTCTGTATTCTGCTAGAGCCTCACAGACGTTTAGCAGCAAACAGTTAATGTGGCAGTCTGCTCGACAGGCGGAACAATCATGAGGGAAAACTTTAGTGATAGGCGATAGCTATCAACATCAATATTATTTTTTAGTCTTAAAAATATATAAGCTGGGCATACGAGGAAGAAAAGCCTTTGACTAAGAATAAATTAAAAAAAAAATTGCCACCATATATAATCTAGAGAAGATGCTGTATCTGTAAGCACATATACTGTTCGCGTGGACCATAACAAAATTCAAGGTCACTTTACCTGTCATCCCATGTGGGCTTATTATGTCCTATCTATAGGCTACGTAGGACATATATTTGGCTGATTCTTTTGGATTTTAATAAAAGAATAAATTTCTCGAAAGTTAAGAGGAAAGTAAATATACAACTTGAGAGAAAAGCTGAAAGAACTGAGCTGATATTACGCTAGCATAATCAAACGATAAATGGCTAGAACATGCTTCACATGCAACAGATTCTCACAAATTTACTTATTTCACACGAAGTACCAGTACCTGCTCTATTAATGGTCTAAACATACCCTGGAGTTGGTTGGGTCGTCTAAGGATCCTCTGGCAAATATCTCGACCAAACAGTTGATATGTTAAAAATAGTAAGATGTGGGTCCTCTGTGTTCATGTGAAACACTATTCATAACTTATGAATGTGCAGCTTCCTATGATTTAGATATTTCTAAAGTTTAATGGAAAAAGAAATCTAGATTTCAAATTGATTGGAAGAGACTAATTTGTTTAAAATGGGTTATTTTTCCCATCTTAAATGGAGGGAGAGTCCGGACTAGTTCGTCTATTAATGTTGTGGACCAACTCTGCATTTGACATCCCTGTTGGCAGGCAGCTTATAATGGTACCGACTCAGGAAGACTATTGCAGACCTGCCAACTCGGTACCTACTGCTCCTGGACCCTGCTGAAGCTGAATATTTTACAAATTCGAATCCAACCCCAATAAATTTTAAATTTTTCCATCACTTACATCCTCATATTGGGGTATTTTGGTCCCTTGACACATTTTAAAAAGAGATAGAGTCTGTACCCCGTAGGACCCAACTCTAAACAGTTTCAGGGAGAAAAACAAACAGATCTCACATAATGCGGCCTTCAATGCCATTGAAGCAAAATTTATTACTCAGTATATCTCAAATTGTGAAGGTCAATTTCCAAGGACGTTGAGAGGATTCAAATCCAACCTCTTCAATAAATTATATGTAACGATCCTTTGCGAACCTAAAAGAATCTATCAACTAGCAAGGAACCCAGGAACTGTCAGACGACCTGGGACGCAATAAGACTATGAATTAACAATAAAGAAAGGGAAGGACAGGTCGGAGATTCTCCATAAAATAAAAAAGATTTCTTTTTCTCAAAGAGAACACCTCACTTTGGTCCCTACAGAAAAGAGCAAAATACCATTTAGACCAATCAACTCTATCTCTCACAGATTTCCGAAGGTCCCATAGCAAGATTGCGACTTTGAAGTTTAAACTCAATGACACGTCTCTTTACCCAACATAGACAGATACAGAAGAGGGACGAAAGCAATCACACGATAGATACTGATGCTATCAGCTTAAAGGTTCGTCTCGTCATGAAAGATCGAATGCCATTCTTAATGGAGTCATAAAAGTACCGATATGATATAAAATGGAGAGAAACAAAACTTGACCCCCTAAAGGTAGACGGGAATGAAACCCATTGAGCATTAAGATTTGAGAAAGAGCATTAAAAAGACAAGTTAAACGCATCGAAGAACGGCGAAAGGACAGGGAAGTGACTCGAAGACAGAGAAACGGGAGAAATGAGAAGGAAGAAACGAACTTACCTCCGTCAGAAGAAGCAGAAGCATAAGCCGCTAAAAGGAGAAGAAGCAGCAGAACAGCCATTAAAGGCTCTCAGAGAAATGCACTATGCACCAGCAATATTATGCTATGTGGACCGCCTTCACTTCAAATTTCAAAGAAACCCGGAAAAGAGGAAAAACAGGGACCCAAAGAGAGAACCCAAGTAAAAAACCTCGAAAGGAGCTTGAAAACTTGATACTTTCGAGGCAGTAGGAGGGAAAACGATGAGAGAGTTTGCTGCTTTAGAGGCTCTTCGTGGGGCGAGAGATTGTGGTTCGACTCATATGGCTTGTCAGTAAATCGGACGGCCCAAATTTGGATTCAAACTGCTCATTTATTGCGCAAAAAATACTACGTATGTGTACTGCGAACTCGTTTAGAGTGTCTGTGGGTTCCGCAATAATGAATCCTTCAAATATTTTTTCAAAAGATTAACAGTGACGATTTAAACATAGAGCTTGCGTGAAAAGATGATGCAGTTCTCAGAGGAATAATCGTGAAATAAAGTAGAGAGATCGCGTGAACCTAACCACAGCAGAGTAATAATAAATTCTGTCACCTCCCCCCAAAGATGTTAGTTTTTCTTTATCCAGTTTTTTTTACGTTGTCAAGCATCAGGAAAACATAAAAACTAGAAATTTCTTTATTGATATTTATACTAATCATAAAAATATGGGGTTTTGGATTCAAAAACTTGAGGTTGGGGCCTGCAGGTATGCGTGGGTGAAGCAGGGCAGGGTAAGCAGGCTTTAATAGCAAATGTTTGATGCAGTGTTCGTATTTGTATAGAGCTGTATATGGCGCAGGGGGTGGTGTGGTGGGGCTCTATCTTCGAGGGGAAAGAGGACCCGAGGAGCTGGCGTGGCTGCTTTGCTGGCACCAACGGTGCTGTTTCGGGTTGGGACAAAGTTCTTCATGTGCTTGTACTTCCATTTCTTTTATAATCACATTTCGTTTTCAGGGCTGCTTCCTTCCTTCATCTCGACAATTATGACAATTTTTGGTTTTTTGCTACCTCTAAGTCATTTTAGGCGCAGCCAAATTACATGTTTCACTGTCTTGTACTTCTTGTTTTTACCCAATAAATTTCTTCACGCCATTCTTTTTTTGGTTGATACATAAGAGGGCAGAGCCCAAAAAAATGAAAACAGAAAACTAAATCAAGGGAGACTAGATCCCAAACATTCCTTTAAAGCCAGGCCCTGCAGTGGCGGTGGGCAGGCAACAAAGACGGAGGATTTCAATAAACCCTCCTTTGCAAGTTTATCGACAAGCTGGTTCTTATCCCGAGAGGTATACTGAGTTCTGAGCTTCCAAGGACACATCATTACCGTCTAAATCTGGAGAACTAGCATACTGGCATTAGCCATTAGGTGAGAGTTTTCCATTCTATAGCATCAAAATCACGTTTAGAGCGTCAGATTCAAGGATGACCCTTCTATAACCCAGATCCCAAGCGATCTCAAGTCCCTTCAAAATTGCCCACTGTTCGGCTTCAATTGCAAAAGCGATACCTATTTTATGTGAGAATCCCACGATCCAAGCACCTGTATGATCTCTAAGGACCCCTCCACAACTTGATAAATTATTGGATCTTGCCGTAGCCCCATCAACATTCAACTTAACCCAGTCTGGAGGTGGTGGTTGCCAAATCAACCTTGCATCATTGGGGGGAGCTAAACAATCCTTATTAACATAATTTTTCTAGGATTGAAGAATAATAGCAGCAGGATTAATCGGTTTGACAAAACTATCATTATGCACTGATTCATTTCTCTAATACCAAAGTTTCCAAATAGTAAACCCCTATAGTAAATCCCAGTTCTCAGTAGCAAATAAACCCAGATTCCTTTTTAGATTGAACGCAAACCAATCATGAAGAGGTGCTGCAAAGAAGGAAGCCATATACCCGGGTTGTACAAGTTGCAGCCAAATGCCTCTCGCATAATCACAGTCCTAAAGAATGTAGAGAGTGTCTCCAATTGAATTATGTCAATGAGGACAAGCGGGGGAAGTAAGAGGCTAGGAACTAATTCGAGCATTGGTAGGCAATCTGTTATGAAAGGCTATCCACATAAAGATTTTAATACGCTCGATCTCTTGCCATTTCCATATAGCTTTATATACTTTGCCATGAGGATTATCGGGGGTTTTTTCCAAAAGAAAATAGGCACTTCTAATGGAGAAGCTTCCATCACTAGTCTCCCCCCAAGGAAGAATGTCATCTCCTGCATCCTCCAATGTCGGTGTTGTAGGAATTAATCTCAACAAGATCTCATTAGGCACAAGGCCAACTAATCGTTGCATATCCAACCACTTTGATTTATCCAGTCAGAAACTTTACTCTGCTCTTCCTGCAGTGTTAAGGGTCTTAGACAAGAGTCACTAATCGCATTACCAACAAGAAGCCAATGGTCAGTAAAAAAGTGGACAGAATGCCCATTTCTAATATTCCATTTGGAGCCCATTTTAATAATTTCCTGTTGTTGAGAAATAAATTTCCAAATCGAATAGTCTCCCTTACGAGCATCCAATAGATTCTTCTCGTTTCGAATCATATATTTCTTAAATAGGACATCAACCCAAAGACCTTTCTCCCCAATCAAGAGCTTCTAGGCCAATTTTGCACCACAAGCACGGTTCATACTAGTCAGTTTACAGAACCCAAGCCCTCCATGGGACTTAGGGAGTGTAATTTGTTCCCAACCAATGGGATGAAATCCATGTCTTTTATCCGAATTTCCCTAAATAAAGTTCCTTTGGATTCTTTCTACCTCTTCACAAATAGAACCAGGTAATTTAGCCACTTGCATGGGGTATAGAGGAATAGTATTGATCATAGATTTGGCTAATATTACTCTTGCTGCCACTGACAAGGATTTTTCCTTCCAAGAGGACAACTTAGCTCTGACCCGATCAATTATATAATGAAAGTAATCCCTAGGTTTCCTCCCTCTGATGATTCGAACCCCTAGGTATTTCCCTGTATCTGTAGAAATTACCATTCCAGCAATCTCTTTGATTTTCCTCTTCAGATTGACTTCTACCTCAGGGGAAAAGATCATTGAAGATTTGCTAAAACTAATCTTTTCCCCAGAGGTAGCATAGAAGTGATTCAGGTAGTCCATCATACACCTTGCCTACTTCTCAGAGGCCTCTCCAAAAAGAAGTAAATCATCTGCAAACATGAGATGAGAGATATAGGGACCCTCCTTGGTTATCGAAATGGGCCTCCACTCCCCCTTGTTTACAACATCACTAATGCAATGAAAAAGCTTATCCATACACAACACAAATAATAGAGGGGAGAGAGGATCCCCTTGTCTAAGACCCCTTTGAGGTTGGAAAAATTCAGTTTGAGCCCCATTCCATAAAACATTATAAGAGACTGTAGAAACACATTCCATAATAACACTAATTAACTTTTCTTCCAGTCCTGTTTCTCGGAGCACCTGTTAAAGGAAATCCCATTTAATTTTGTCATAGGTCTTCTCCAAGTCAATCTTCCGAACCATAAGACCTTTCCTTCCTTTGGTTTTTTTCACTAATTGTATTATCTCCTGTCCTATAACAATGTTATCCTGAATATGTCTCCCTTTGATAAAGCTAGATTGAAAAGGCGAGATCAACTTATCCATATATTCTTAAAGCCGACCTGTAATGAGCTTTGTTAAACATTTATAATGTATCGTGCACAGACAGATAGGCCGAAAGTGGCTAATGGATTTAGGCCTCTCCCTCTTAGGAATAAGAGAAATTAAGGTTTTATTAGCACTAGCTAGAGATCCTTGATGGTCAAACATAGCTTTCACAAACTGACATATAGACTTGCCCAGTTTTCCCTAATTAGATTGAAAGAATACATGAGAAAATTCATCATACCCAGGTGCTTTGTAGGGCCCCATAGAGAAAAGAGCCTTTTTAACTTCCTCATCCGTAGGAGTGGCATTCAAAACAGAGTTTTGGATCGGATCCAAAATTGGAAAATTACTCACCGTGTGTAATTAAGCAAGCAACAAGTTATCATTTTGATACAATTGGTTAAAATAGTTGCCGACCAATCTCTACAACTCTTCTTTATCTTCTATCCAATTACCATTATCATCCTTCAGAGTAAGAACTCTATTCCTCCTTCTTCTCATATTTGTTTTCAAATGGTAGTAATGAGTGTTCCTATCTCCCTGATTGATCCAATCCGCTCTGGATTTTTGAAACCATTTAATTTCTTCTAATTTTAATAACGTATCCAGATCATTTTGCAATTTAAGTTCCAACTCACACAGGAATGGAGAGAAAGGGTAGGCCGCAGAATTCTGTATTCCGGCAAGACGAGAAAGAATAATTCTTTTCTTTTTTTCTACTAACCCAAAGGTCTCCTTATTCCAAACCAATAGGGATTGCCGCAAATTATCAAGAGATTTATCTATATCATCCCCCTCCAACCAGTTCTCACTAAGAAACTCTTTAAAATCTTCATGTGATAGCCACATTGCTTCAAATCTGAACGGTTTCAAATTCACACTCACACAGGAGGTTTGATATTGGAGTAGAATGGGATTATGATCAGAAAAATGAGTTCTAGGAAGTACCTTGATGAAATAATCAGGTAGTAGCGAAAGGAATTCAGTGTTACCTAGACCTCTGTCCAATCTCTAAAAAAGCCTGCTGCATCCCGAGAGGCAAGGTCCCTTCCAAGTGAATTTTGGACATTTATATCCCATGTTAGTTAACCCACATTCGTTTATGCAGTCTTGGAACCAAGCAATTTTATTAGCCGAAATGAAGGATCTGCCCCCAATTCGTTTTGTGGCGTCAAGGACGTCATTGAAATCTCCCAAAACCACCCAAGGCATAGAAATATACTGCGCCATATTCTGTAACTTTTCCCATAAAACCTTCCTCAGATTTGAATGAGGAATGGCATAAATGGCTGTAATGAGAAACGTGGGCTAGTTAGAATATTCACATTTGAGGTGAATAAATTGCCGATCCACTTGCAAAATCATCACCTGTCCACCACCACTCCTCCATACCGCCATTAGGCCCCCTGAACGACCAACACTAGGCACCACCTCCATGGAGTCAAAATCCAGTAAGCGGATACACCGAAACCTTTCGTCATTCTCACATCTTGTATCAGAGAGGATGATGATACTAGGCTTAGGACCACTGTAGACAGCTTTAATATTCCTAAGGAGACTTCCAATAGAGTATATTATCCATAAAGGCTACAAAAAGCAACAGACCAAAGAGGCCCACTAAGCCTCGAATTGAGTCTCTGGACCACCGTCCCCTCACAACCAAGATCCATATGCTCAGCCTCACTTGGGCTCCCACACGACCCACCAAAAATCGTTTCCCATATCCAAATGTCTATCCTTTTCGCCTGAGTCTAAATAGGGATTCCTTTCCTGGGCTTGCTCTTGCCCAGTTTGGTCCTTATGATCCAAAGGGGAATATTCCTACTCCATGTCATCCACCTGATTCTCACTATCCATAGTCTCATTATTGCTCTCAAGGGTCAACACGAGAACCTCACCGCTTTATGCATGTTTTTGATACATCTCCCTTGTCCTCTTCACCTTTCTTCTCAAAATTAGTTGCCTATGTAGTTCCTCATTACGCACCTCTTTCTCTGCCATGTCAGTGGTCCCTTGTTGGCTCTCTCTCTCATGCTACTGGCATCCTTGGTCTTCCTACCCATACTACTGTTTCGCATTAGCAAGGAACGTACACTGGTAATGCGCTGAGGCAGGGTGAAATGGGGTCTTGTTGTTGTTCACTCTGGGGAACAACGATCATGCCGTTTTGGGCCTCCTTCATGTCAGCAAGTATCTCAAATCGTGATTCCTTATTCTTTGGTCGAGTTGACTCACCTTTACCATCTCTGTTTTTCCAGTTCTGGTGAGTTTTATTCACAACTTGCCATACAGCTTGACGACTCGTCGTCTCTTCTCTCTTGTTCCTATTTACCTGCTCTTCCGCTATTCTAGGCTCATTGGTTTCTGGCATAACATTTTGAGCTTTACGCTGAAGACAAGACTTGCTGCGATGACCATAAATACCATACTTTGTACAGAGCATGTGTAATCCCTCGTACTCCAGATAATAGTCTTCTCCATCCAATGTAAATCCAGGCATCAGTTGATGGTTTAAGTTAACTAGGACACAAATTCGAGCATAATGACCCCTTAACTGACAAGAAGTATTCATATCAACTCTTATTGTTTCATCGATTCTGTTACCAATACAGGTTAGAGCTTCTTCATCGTAATATTCTAAAGGAACTCTTGGCATTCTAACCCAGACTGCCACTTTGTCAATTGTTGCTCTCTCAGGTTGGAAGTTTGGTTCCTAAGGTCTAATAGTTAGATAATAGTCATATATCATCCAGGGTCCCCCAGTTAATGCATTAAAATAGTCTTCTCTATTTGTAAGTTTCACCACAAAAAAACCATAGCCAATATTGATAAGGTTGATCACTCCTTTTTTCGCCTAGACTGTTTGAAGACGTGTTGGTAGGGCCTTGTATCCCACATGCTTATCTAGTAGCTTGACAATAATTGCTCTATGCCAAGCTCTGTATAATCATTTCTTCATTCACCCTGAAAAACAGAATGTAGGAAAATTCCTACTATGATTTTCAATGGTTTTGCAAATAGGCTCCTTCTCTTTCTCCTTTGAATGAGAATCCTCAGACATGGAATCATCCGAGTGTTCACTGTCATCCTCAATGTCTTCTTCAGTGCACTCCCCTTGCTTCTCCACTCCTTTCAATTTATCTGCAAATGATGGCCGCCCAAAGGCAATCTGATCAGGTTTAGCTCCTAGCTTCGGCCAATGCCCTTGCAATAAGTTTTCTGTTCCTTTGGTGGCAACGTTCTTAGTCCTCTTTGAGCTATGATCAAGAAGGTCTTCTTCCTCCCGTGAAGGTGGAACCAAAGTCGCATTCTCTCCAGACGAAGCCATCATTTCTTCATGCCATTCAGTTTACAATGAGGCAAGAAATTTAAATGGCTGGTTCACTTAGTAGGCCAACATTATTGGGATCTGGCCCAGTATGGGACTATATATCTGGGCCTAACACATTTCAATCCAGTCCCTGTTGCTCTTATTTTCCACTTGGGTTTTTTTTTTCCTAAAAGAAAAGTGTAAGTATTTGAGTTGCAGGACTCACCAAGATCAAGACATACCTTTAGACTTAAAAAATACTTACCGAGATATTTACAGATAATCTATCAATAAGATTTTTACATCGGCAGTGAAATTCAAACTCTTATGAGTTATGAATGGATTCTTTACTAACTGAATCAATATTTTGTTGGTTCGTTTTCTAATTTTTATTACTAGGCAGCAAGCGGGCTCCCATGTATTTGATAATAATAAGTAGTGATCCAAATACTGATGATGATTTTTTATAGCCAATAATTTTTTTTATAAATTACGTAGTACATGTGCCTCTAAACATCACTAAGTGACGCAGATTTACGATTATAGTATCAGACTCCAGTGTAATAACATGTAAAAGGAAACAAATAGCCAAGCACATAAAAAGGGAGACAGTTAATTGTACTACTATTATGATCAATGATTAGAGTTTTTAATTATTGCCTGGGCATCAACTTGCTATAGATCGTCCTTACCAAGAGGGGAAAAACTTACTATAGGCCAAATGCAAACGAAACACTTTATGACATTTGCTTTGATAATATACTTGTTCTTTGTTTTCATATTGAATAATAGATTTTTTACAATAAAATGTAATTTCCTGACCCAAAAAAAACGGGGATTAAGGTGAAAATTAGTTTCTGGGCATGCTTGGAATGGCTTACAAGTAGTTTTTTTAACCTTACTTATAAAATACGAGATAAGTATGTGATAAAAGTTTTATCTCGACTTGTGTAAAATGCGTTTATAAAAACTTATTTAAGCTAACCCAAACAAGCATTTCAAAGTTTTTGGTTAAAAGCAATATTACTCTGAAAGATTATTTTGGATTTAATGTTGTTGCATAAGTTTTAAAATGCAATAATGTTACCCCCTCCTATTAAAAAATAATTTTGACAGTTAAGAAATTGACATTAAATCCAAAAGAAAAAACTTCATAAGCAATGTTGCTTCTTAATGAAAAATTTGTGAGTAAATTTTTACTTTAACTTGAAAAATTACACAAGTTACTTTTCTTTTGTCAAAATAAATAATTATATACACATTGCTATAATTTTGTTCTCTTTTCTTGTCAAATATTAGAGCTTTTTACATTAATCAAATTCGGATAATCTCGATCGAGGAACATTATTCACAAAATCGTATTGGTTTGTTCCGGTTAAAATTATTTTAAGAAAAGTCCATTCTCATTAAAATTAAAAAAAACCGGGAATAATTCACCCAAGAAAAGCCGGGGATGAAAAGAAGAAAAAGGACACCTTTCCGCAATGGAGAACGGGCGTACTGTGGAAACTGGAAAGGGATGATATCTAGCGAACTGGTGCCATTGTACGGTGTTTGAGACTTGGAAATTTTTTTCCTTTTCCGTTTCTCGTTCTGCATAACAAAAAAATATTGTTCCGTGGATATCTAACTAAAAGCAGAGGTTCGACTGCATGCTCACGGCATAGTTGATGGGAGATGCAGTCAATTGAATGAAAACAAAGAAATGGATCAAACTCAGAGATCACCACCAGGAACAGCCTCTCGGGCTTATCAGTTACACCCTGCCCGAACCGCCATTCTCGATCTGTTCAACCTTTACTTGGGAGTAAGCAGCTCCCTCTTTTCCCACTCTTCTTTTATATCCTTTCTTCTCAACTTTCACTTGTTTTGGTAATTCTATCTTCTATTATGTTCTTCTTCTTTTTTTCCCGGCAGAGAAACAGCCGCCAGAAACCCGATGATACAATCCGTGAACTGCCGTAAGTGTAGCTATTTTTTACACTGAAAGTTTTGATTTTTGGGCATTCCGAGGCTTTAGTTCTCTGGTTCATAGTCAACGTTCCGGTGTTTGCAGTTGATCAGGCTTTAGTTGCAGTATGTGGAAGGAAATAAGTGTTATTAGACAAATTCAATTCAGTTTGGAGCTTGTGTAATAATCTGCTCGTCTTAATGATATCCTTTTTGGACACTATTTGTTGAACGTCGAGTCACCCAAAAATGTGTCGCGACATTTCCCAAGCCACCAATGTCGTTGCACGCTGTCACTTTGCTCTTGTTGGCTTCAATTCTTTATTTTCTGCGGGCACCGCCCTTTTTCTTTTCACGCGGCAGTTCAATTATTGCTATAATTCTATGTCTTCTCCGTCTCCTTTCTTTCAACAATCGAACTGCCACTCATGACAACATTCAATTTCCGAGTCAATTATTCTTGTTGGTTTCATAAAACATTTTCTAAATCTCAAAATCCCAAGAATAATTCGTTAATTTATCTAACTTAGTTAATCTCTCCTGGCATGTAAAAATTCACGGGATTTATAGAATTTGTGGTTTTCATTTTCATTCAGAGAGATTCTCTTTGTGCCATTTGGTGTTGATTATTTTGCTTTCGCTTTATCCATACTCCTAAAATCATTGGTTGCCTTGTGCTGGTTCTTCAAGCGTGCCTTAACGAAGATATTCCCACTTTGGTTGCTTCTCGTATCCGTTGATGTCTTATTTCTTCCATATTTGAATTACTTTCAGGAACAAATCACAAAAGCGTGTACTTGCTCTGAACAGAGAGCTTCCTCCACCAAATGAGCAATTCCTTCTAGATTTTGAGCAACTTCAGAGCCAGTTTCCTGTGAGTTTGAAATCACACTGTGCAACGCAATGCATCTCCTTATGTTGTTTCTGTTTTGTTCATAGCTTTTTTGAAAATAGCATGTGACATTGAATGTTGTTAATGCTCTGTTCTATTTCAGGACCAAGATCAGTTACGTTCTGTAACTGAAGCTATTCTCATATCTCTGGTTGTGCAGTGCAGCAGTCATGCACCAAGGGCAGAATTTCTTCTATTTGCTTTGCGGAGCTTATGTGGTATTAGATACATTAACTGGGATACTTTTTTGCCATCCCTTCTCTCTTCAGTTTCGTCAGCAGATATGCCTGCTGGCCAGGGTAGTCAAGCAGTGCCAGCTGTTTCCTCTTCAAACTTATTGCAGTCAGGCATGTTACCACCGTCAAGCACGATAACCAATGTGTCTAATTTTCAGTCTTCAAATCCTGCATCTCCACTACCTTCTGTTCATCCCATTGGCTCCCCTCCTCAATCGAGCATTGAACCATCAAGTTGTGCAGCTATATCTCCTGTCAAATCTTCTGATATGTTATGCTCTGGACAACAATCTAAAACAAGAGGCATTCCATCTGTTCGTAATAATGATATTAGTAGCCTCCGTCAGCTATGTTGCAAAATTATTTTGATTGGTCTTGAGTCTGATTTGAAACCAGTGACTCATGCTGAAATCTTCCATCACATGCTAAATTGGCTGGTAAATTGGGACCAAAGGCACCAGGGAGTTGATGAACCTGATCTAGTAAAAGCATGGAGGCCTGACAAAGCTTTAATTGCTTGGCTACACGGTTGTTTGGATGTGATCTGGCTTTTAGTTGATGAAGGAAAATGCCGAGTTCCCTTTTATGAATTACTTCGTAGTGGTTTGCAATTTATAGAGAACATACCTGATGATGAAGCCTTATTTACACTTATTTTGGAGATCCACAGGAGACGAGATATGATGGCTATGCACATGCAAATGCTAGACCAACATCTTCATTGTCCAACGTTTGGCACTCCTCGAATTCTTACTCAGACTCCTAATATTTCAGGCGAAGCAGGCATGAGACTTGCACCAATCACATATTTAAGTGTACTTGGGGAACCATTACATGGAGAGGTGATGACTTTTCAAGGAACTCTTAGTATTAAAATGCAGTCTAATTACTTGTAATTTAGCAATAGATACTTACCTTATTTACTTTTAATCATAGCTTGTCCTAATTTGGTAAGTTAATCCATTTTTGATGCCGTAGGATCTTGCAACTTCTATCCAGAAGGGAAGTTTGGATTGGGAGAGAGCTTTACGTTGTATAAGGCACGCTCTTCGCACCACCCCATCACCTGATTGGTGGAGACGTGTGCTACTAGTAGTTCCTTGCTTTAGGCCTTCCTCTCAAGGGCCTACTCCTGGTGCTGTTTTTTCTTCAGAAATGATCTGTGAGGCAACAATTGATAGAATTGTTGAGTTGTTGAAATTAACAAATTCAGGCAATGACAATTTCTCCTTTTTACATGTATTGTTGAGTTTATTTGTCTAAAGGGTTTTTTACATTAGGGGGTGTTCAAGAGGCATAGGCATAAGTACTTTTGGGCCTTGCCTAGGAGCTTAAGCACTAGGTAGGTTTGGTTAATAGTTGCACTTGTGTTGAAAGATAGAGCACTCCTAAATTTTTGGTTAGCGTGCGATCTTTACTGTTTTTGACTAATTGGTCATGCTTTGTTTAATGTGGGAAAACAATTGGTTCCTGAAACTGTTTTGTGCGTTATCCTGAAAAGCTAATTCTGGCTAAATATTGTCATTCTTGCAGAGGTAAATTGCTGGCAGGACTGGCTTGTCTTCTCCGACATTTTCTATTTTTTCATGAAAAGTGGGTGCATTGATTTTGTTGAGTTTGTAGACAAGCTGGTTTTACGCCTTGCAGAGAATGACAACCTTCTAAAAACAAACCATGTGACTTGGCTTCTTGCACAAATAATTCGAGTTGAGCTGGTTCTGAATGCTTTGAATTCAGATGCTAGAAAGGTAGAGAAATAAATCATAGTTTCATTATCTGGCCTTCATTGAGATGTGTTTGTTTTTCCTTCCACTTTTATTCCACTGATAAATTATTGTCTCTGGAGGGTATTTAGTCAGCAATCTTCTGAATAAATGGGTATTTTTCATTTCTCGACTTTCTAGTTTGGCTTTTCTTTGGGTAAGGATTAATGCTAAAGTTGATGTCGAATGATCATGGCATTGCTTACAGGTGGAGACTACCCGAAAGATTCTTTCATTTCACAGAGAAGAGCGGAACCCTGATCCCAATAACCCACAAAGTATATTGCTTGATTTTGTTAGCAGCTGCCAAAATTTACGTATTTGGTCATTGAATACATCAACCAGAGACTATCTCAACAATGAGCAACTTCAAAAGGGAAAGCAAATAGATGAATGGTGGAAACAAGCAAGCAAAGGTACATTGAAACATGGATTTTATTGTCAGTGAAATTGTAAAATCAACATGTGATGTTTTGCTATTGGCTGATGGTTGACAAGGTCTGTTTTGCTCTGCAAATTCTCCTATCTTATGAAATGGAATTCAACAATCATTATACCTTGTTGGAACTCTGTAGTTTCTAGTATTAGTTATAGTCAAAATGCTTGTGGTAATGCATGAATTTAGTGTACAAAATCAAGGGAAAAGACCCAGCGGAATTACAGAAAATGAAAACAGAAACAAAGATAGAACACTCGCAGGCCACTTCAGCTTTTTGACAGGCTAGACCATTCCACTCGTAATATGCTTAACCACTCTTTCCTTCCTTCTGAGCCCATATTATCCTCCTTCCTTAGTTAGCCTCTTTTGTCCATCTCACCCCTCTCTGCCAGCTCAGCTCTGCTTCCAAACAATGGGCCCTGGCTCAGCTGCTGCCTTCCTTTGCTTCCTCACATATTTATTTAACTCTGGTTGGGCCAGACTAGGCCCAACATATCTATCAATGTGAGGTTGCCCATATAATAAATTGGTGTTTGATCAGTTGTTAAAGTGTGGCTTTATTGCATAGTCAAGTAATTGCATAAAAGAGCTGCAGCCTGATCTTGAGCAACTGGTTCTAGCAATATTATTATCAGTTTGTTACTTCTTTGGACCATTAAGTTATTATCGTCAAATGCACAATGTATGTCAATGCAGATGAAGTTAGTTGGTTGAGTTCTTCAGGGACTCCCCTTTTGGTTTATGTCGGAATCAATGAGCCTTATTGAGCGAGCAATTGTTTTGTTATTTCCTTATATAGCTGCTGGATATATATATGTTGTTTAACTTCACATGGGATTAAAGTGTATGTGCTTATTGCCAAGCATTTGTGATTTTTCAGGGGATCGCATGATGGATTATATGACTATGGATGAACGCTCAATAGGGATGTTTTGGGTTGTCTCCTACACAATGGCACAACCTGCTTGTGAAACAGTAATGCATTGGTTAACTTCTGCTGGAGTTATTGAGATGATTACGGGACCAAATCTACAGTCACCAGAGAGATTAATGGCTACACGGGAAGTGAGCCCGCTGCCTATATCATTGTTGTCTGGTTTTGCAATGAACTCATGCATGAAGCTATCGTATCAAATGGAAGAAAACATTTTTTCCGGGCAGGTTGTTCTTAATTCTCTCTCTCTTAGTGGGTGTGTCTAGTGTTTAGGTTCATTGATTAGCATGTTTGTTATACCTCATAAAAGTTAACTGGTGGTGTAATTGTTTTTGTATTATCATAGACTAGTTATAATTTTCTGAGCAATGATTTTTTCTCATGGGAATGACTTTGGTGAGCTAGAAATGGAAAATCTTAATCTAATTGGGTTATAAAGAAATCATTATCTTGAGATATATGCCTTTCTTATTTTTATGCAGGTTGTACCCAGCATTGCAATGGTTGAAACGTATACTAGATTGTTGCTTATTGCACCTCATTCGCTATTTCGCTCACATTTCAATGTAATTTCTCTGCCCTCAAAGATTATTACATCTTTTGTAATTCATTTTATATCATGCAAATAAAGAAGTGCTATGCATCAATGGTGCGTTTAGTAAAAAATACTTTTGCTTTTCTCTTTGACCGGAGGCTGAAATTGAATACTAAAATGGAGTACTGTGATAGAATTTCAATTTTTGTGTGAAAATTATCTGGCATCGTTTGATGTGTATTGTATGGAAGATGGTCATATCGTGAAGTGTACCTTATTTTGAGACCCATTTTAAAGTGTTATTTATTATTTTCCTTTGTGAATTGTAAGAGACTATCAGAGTCTATCAGAAGAACCGTGATGAGAGGTTGTTGATCTCTTGCCATCTGATTCTTTTTGTCAATCACTGACCTAATGCTTATGCTTCTTATGGTGTCATAAAGACAATCTATTCTAGTCTAGTTTTCATTGGTTAAGACATTGTAGATATTCCTACTATTCATGTTATTTAGTCTTCATTTGTTAACTTGCTTGCCACTATTAAGATACTATCTGTTTACAATGTTATTTATTTCAGCATCTAGTGCAAAGAAATCCTTCTTTATTGAGCAAACCTGGAGTGTCGCTTTTGGTACTTGAGATATTGAACTACAGATTGCTTCCACTTTACAGGTGATTATTACTGTGTCCCTTAATATAAAATTCTCCTTCTAATGAACATATAGATAGTTTGGCATTTTGTTGGTTCTTTCTATTGTTCCTTTTTGCCCCTTTCGTTTTGATAAACACATTCAATAGATAATATTTCGCTATCTTCTTGGTGCTCCAAAATCTGTCTCTAGCTTCCTGAAATGAACTTAATCAGCAGCATGCCTCTTCATTTTGCCTGGAATCAAACGTTAGCCCAAGTTACATCTTTTTGTTTGTGTATAGGTACCAAGGAAAAAGCAAAGCCTTGATGTATGATGTTATAAAGATTATTTCTGCCCTAAAAGCAAAACGAGGAGATCATCGGGTATTCAGATTAGCCGAAAATCTGTGCCTGAATCTTATTTTCTCATTGAGAGATTTTTTCTTGGTTAAAAGGGAAGGAAAGGTATTTGCTTTGATCTCCAAGCTGTACTTCATTTCCCTCTTTTCAGTTATGGTTCTAGTTTTTTTAAGAAAAAATTCTTTCATGTCCATTTGGTGCAAACTGATGCTTTATTATTATCATTATTTTTATTCCTTTCACAATTTACAGGGTCCAACTGAATTTACTGAAACTCTGAATCGCGTAACTGTAATTACACTTGCTATCCTTATTAAAACACGAGGGATTGCTGATGCTGAGCACCTGCTTTATCTCCCAACTATGTTGGAACAAATAATGGCAACTAGCCAGCATACATGGTCTGAAAAAACTCTTCATTACTTTCCTTCTGTTCTGCGTGATGCCCTGGGCAGTCGAATGGATAAAAGGAGTCTTTCTATACAAGCATGGCAGCAGGTTTGTTTTGCAAGTTTGTGTTATCATGCTCATATTTCTGCTGGCATGGCTGTTACAATGATAAAGGATACTTATACATGTTCACCAAAAGGTTAAAAAAAGGAGAGGGGGGGGGGGTAATAAAAGTTTTGATGACTCAAGTTTGCCTCAATTGATTTGGTTTCTGAAGTTTAATTTTTATCAATCAAGTCTCTAAAGTTTCATTAAAGAACAGGTTCAAAGGCGGACCACTTTGATCTATGGATCAATTATTTTAAGTGTTTCTATGCAATAGCTAACATTCTTTTGCAATACGATAGAAATATTAAATATGATAGAGCCTACTTAGTACATACTTTAGAAATTTAGCCATAATGTTTTGATTTTTTTGGCATATTTATGTTAATATAGAAGACACTTTTGCAGGCAGAAGCCACTGTTTTACACCAATGCACACAGCTTCTTACCGCATCAGCTGATCCTAATTATATTGTGACCTATGTCGGTCACAGTTTCCCTCAGCATCGACAATATTTGTGTGCTGGTGCATGGACATTAATGCATGGACATGGAGAAAACATTAATGGTGGAACCTTGGTATTCATCCTCTAACAGCTTTTCTGAAGGCTTATTATTTCACTGCTTCATGATGTATCTTGAACTTTACACATATGTGTGTAGGCACGTGTCCTTAGGGAATTTTCTCCTGAAGAGGTGACGTCTAATATTTACACAATGGTGGATGTTTTGCTTCATCATATTCAAATTGAAGTTCAACATGGGCATTCCGTACAGGTTGTTAACTTTGCAGAGGATGTATTTCTATTCTGCAGTTTAGTACCTTGTTAATTCTTCAGTGTACTTACAACTTTTTTTTGGGGGTTTTGTAGGACCTTCTGTTAAAAGCTTGTGCAAATCTTGGATTTTTTGTTTGGATGAATGAGTTGCTTCCCTTAGATATCTTGCTTCTGGCACTTATTGATCGTGATGATGATCCCCATGCATTGCGAATTGCGGTATGCACGTTCTATCTCTCCATTGTATTGTTGATTATGAACTTATATGCGCACAAAAAACTTGGCCTCTCTCTTTTTTAAATAAAAAGGGAATGAATTTCTGGTAATTGTTGGTTCCTTTATCTATTGCTAAGCAGTCAGTTCATGCGACTTAATAGATATTAAAGTCTTCCCTTTTGTTTTATTGCTAGCCACATTCTATTCTTCCAAAAGGACTAACTGTGGTGGTTTTTATATCTTCTTATAATATTCTATTCACTCTTTCACTAGGTGATTTATCCTTATTGACAAGTTCATTTATAATTTACTACTTTAGATCAAGTCATCTATTTGTTGTTATGCAATTGCTGGTGGTTGCTTTCAATTAGAATATGCTGTTTGGGATCTTTGGTGACGGTATCCAACTCTAGAGCAATTTCTGGTAAGATGGCAAAAGCTTGTAGAACAGTGCAGTTTTTCTTGTGCTTTGGTGCATTGTACTGACATTTTCAGGGCCCCTTCATGGCCTTTAGATATATTTTAAGACTAGATTTTGTTTTTGGCTTCTCACTGGTATTCTGCATAGCGTCCTTGTCAAATATGCAGGGAGTTAAGCATTGCTTAGTTTCAAAGTTGAGGCCCTATGTGTTTCAGTTTTCTCCTCTACGAGATTTTTCCGCCGCCTATATACCATTGTAATGGATGCCTTAAATCCCAAATGTCATCATGATCTGTTGAGATGAATTGTTTACCAAACCAAGAATGAACTTTTGAACGTGGTGTTTTAGTGAAGTCTTTAATGTTATTTTTACTAAATTGCAAATATGTTTTAAGAAGAAGTTGTTGTCAGTTGTTTTGGACGCTGAAGTTGCTTTGTAGATGTTTCTATCTTTCAAGGAGACATGGTTCTTGAGCTTTTTTCTCATTTTGTATGGAGTAATAATGTAGCAATAAATACTGCAGATCAGTCTCCTTGATAGACAAGAGCTTCAGCAAAGAGTAAAACAATTTATTGTGACTCGTGGACCCCCTGAGCATTGGCTTTACACTGGACAATTCAAGCGGGTTGAACTGCAAAAGGCTCTTGGAAATCACCTTTCGTGGAAGGACAAGTAGGTTATGTAAAAATAATGTCTATTCTGTATTTTGCTTAGATCAAGCATCATCTAAATTAATTGGCAGTGATCAAGACTGGTGATAATGGAACTTGAAAAAAGAAAGAAAAAACCATTAGTTGTTTTTGATTTATCTGGGAAATGGAGTTGCAATCTGTGTTTCATTAATTTTTTTCACTGAAACTGATCTTTTGTTGAAGTAAACGAATTATATCTTTATGTGGGGGATGGAGACGCAACTAATGTGTCTTGATTCTACCTTGAACATTGCATGCACTCACAGTTTCCACAATAACATTCCAGGCACCCAGTGTTCTTTGATGATATTGCAGCCCGTTTGCTTCCAGTCATCCCTTTAATTATTTATAGACTTATTGAAAATGACGCAATGGATCTAGCAGACAGAGTATTGGCCATGTATGCTCCATTGCTTGCTTACTACCCTCTAAGATTTACATTTGTTCGTGATATACTTGCATATTTCTATGGCCATCTTCCTGGAAAGCTCATTCTTCGAATACTCTATGTACTTGATATCAAGAAGGTAACCCTTCCCTTTTCTGCTAAGTGACGGAATAATCATTCTTTCTATTCAAGTGACACACACACACACACACACACACACACACAAACAAAAGATACAAGAAGAGAGTAAGGTCATTTTATGCAATAAATTTTAGAAGAAGAATGGTGGATTTAATACACACGCACGCACACAATATCAATATTAATTTCACGCTGGAATCTTCATTAACTGTTTGAAATGGCATTATTCTGCAAATATATAACAGGTCTGGTTTTTTCTTTTCTTTTTTTTTCCAGATTCCTTTGTCGGATTCATTCCCACAGCAAATAAGCTCTTCCAATCCAGTCATGTGCCCTCCTATGGACTATTTTGCTACTCTCTTGTTGGGAATAGTGAATAATGTGATCCCTCCATTGCATAACAATTCAAAGTCTGGATCAAGCACTGATGCTTCAAACAATGCACTACGCTCTCTGCATAACAAGCCTCCAGCAGTATCTCAGTCTGGGACTGCAAATGCTTTGGAGGGCCCAAAAGCTTTCTACCAAATTCAGGATCCTGGCACATATACTCAACTGGTTCTTGAGACTGCTGTCATTGAAATCCTCTCCCTCCCTGTCTCTGCGTCTCAGATAGTACAATCGCTCATTCAAATTATTGTAAATATACAACCAACATTGATCCAATCCAGTAACGGTCTCCATGGTGGTTCAAATGGTGTAGGGCAAGGTTCGGTACTGCCAACATCTCCTTCAGGGGGAAGTACAGATTCCTTAGGTGCTAGCAGATCATCTCCTTCGGTTTCTGGAATAAGTACCTCTAACTTTGCCTCACGAAGTGGTTATTCATGCCAACAACTATCTTGCTTGTTCATTCAAGCTTGTGGTCTCCTTCTGGCTCAGCTGCCTCCTGAATTTCACTTACAACTTTACATGGAGACAACACGCATAATAAAAGAGAACTGGTGGCTTACAGATGGGAAAAAGTCACTTGGGGAAATAGATTCTGCTGTTGGCTACGCTTTGTTGGATCCAACTTGGGCAGCACAGGACAATACCTCTACGGCCATTGGTATGACTTTGCGGTTGACTTATTCTATTAAACTCATTGCTCAAGACGTTATCGGAATGTGAATTTTCTATATCACTAGTCTTTCAGCCACATTGAAATTGCAACTCACATGCTCTCGTGTTCTATGATGCGAAGTGTCTGAAACATCGGTCAAAACAATCATAGTCTTCACCTACTAACTTGAGCTGTTTGTGAAAATGGTCTTGATGCAATTTTTCGTTTATGTTCAAAGCTTAGTTCTTACTTTATAGATGGCGATTAGACTTTTGCATTTGTTTTGTTAGAAAGCACCTACTTCAACATTAAACTGCTCTCAACTTGGTTCAAATGCCTGAAAGGTTTTGTTGGGTGTACAGGGAATGTGGTTGCCCTACTTCACTCCTTCTTTAGTAACCTCCCTCAGGAATGGCTAGAAGGGACGCACGTCATCATCAAGCAACTTAGGCCAGTAACATCCGTTGCAATGTTGAGGATAGCTTTCCGTATAATGGGTCCACTTCTCCCAAAACTTGCCAATGCTCATGCACTTTTCAGCAAGGTACAGAAAATTATTGACTCTATAAGAAAGCTTTCTTTATGGATGTATGTTAATGGATATGTTATCTGTGTAGCTTGTGCCTGTTTGTCTTTGATGCTTTAATGCTGAAACAAATCCATGAAAGCGTTTATTTCTCCAATCACAAATGCTAACAAACTCCTGCTGCAGATAATCATTAGTTAGATTGTATATTGTGTTTACTAATCATTTATCCAATGTGTGAATACTATTGGAACAAATCATAAAGATTTTGATATAGGCTGTTAGTTTCGTTGGTGCCTGCGACTTTAAATTTATGCTTTTTTGGATGATTCATTAGAACTTTGCTGTGGTTTATGTGATTTATTCCATAACATTTTCCCCTGAACTTCTGTAAAACATCATCCGCAGACCCTTTCATTTCTGTTAAGTGTACTAGTGGATGTATTTGGAAAAAACGTCCAGCCACCCGCGGCCATTGAAGCATCAGAAATAGCTGATATCATTGACTTTATGTAAGTCCTCCTCAATTTTGTTCTATCTAATGTTGTACCTTGAGACAAAATTCTGATCTTCCTGTTGCCTCACGGCTTACACTATTCTCGCCGCTCCATGTTCAGCCATCATGTCATCCATTATGAAGGGCAGGGAGGACCCGTGCAGGCTAGCAGCAAACCTCGACCAGATGTTTGGCTCTCATAGGAAGGGCATCGGAGAGTCTACGTCCAGACGTTCAGCATCTGCTTTCACACCTGAAGCCTGATGTAGATTCTTCTATTTATTTTGCACCCGTTCCAAAGGTCCAGAATCCATCCTAGATGCAAGCACATGAGAGCACATTTCAGAGTTCAAAAAATGGCAGAGAAATGCTTACTCTGTGACGAGTTCAGGGAACAATAAGTTTCAAATGTAAATCTGAACGGTTTGGTAAACTGGGGGTTTACAGATTTGATTAGATTATAGAGCTGTATATAAAACAGATGTTTTGTTTATTTCTCGAGTTTTGTGGGCATAAATTGCAGCAAGCTAGTGAGCCATCGCCCATCTGTATGAAAGAGGGAAAGGGTATATAGTTTTCTTACAGAAGTTTAAAATTTGGAAAGAATAGACATTTTTCCTTCTTTCCCTATAACACCGCTATTGTTTTTTTTTTTTTTTTTCCCAGTTGGGAGTGAGAAGACAAAATTGACTTCTGCTTTTCTTCTATTTGAAAAAAAATATTTAAAAACCTCTGACTTGCTAAGTTTTTTTTGAGGAAAAAGATTTAATTTTCGCCATAGAGATTTGCCTAGTTGCGTTATGAGTTAGTAATCAAATGGTATCAAAACCACGAAAATGCGTTGATCAATTCACCATTTCTTTTTTTCATCTTTCGCCAACAATTCACCGTTTCGTATAATGTTTTTTGTTTTTTAAAATTCAGTGTTGCGTATGAAAATGTCGATTGTTACTCCCAATCTGTTTCATATTTCCAATAATTAACAATTTTACTTAAATAAAATTCAGGTCTCTTCAACTTAATCCAATGTGTCACTTTAAAAGTGAAGCTCACATTCAGTAATTCTCAACCACTTCCCGATTTAGAGAGAGAAGTTGACAGAGAAAACTATGTGTTTGTTTGGTTTTTTGTTTTGAAAACAATTTTTTATTTTTAAAAACAGAGAAACAAAAAACTTATTTAGTAATTTGTTTTTAGTTGATTATTTTAAAAAACAAAAAAATAATAACATATTTTTAAAAACTGAAAAATTAAAACAACTTTTATATGTTTTCTTGTTTTTGTTTTTGTTTGTGTTTTTTATTTTTCATTTTCAAAAATTAAAAAAAAATCTTCTTTTCTTCTTATTTGCTACCTGTTACCTATCACTACTGATTACAACTACTATTTGTCAAAATGTGATTTTTTTTAATATATTTTTAAATGTGGTTTTTAAAAATTATTTTCCACTTGGTTTTTTTTTCCAAAAATCGTTCTTGAAAAACAATTTTAGAAAATTATTTTGAGAATAAAAAATAAAGAACAAAAAGCGTATGTTTCTTTTTTTTACCATCTATATTGCTGTGTTGTTTTCAGTACTATTTATAAAAAAAAAAAATTGAAGTTCAAAACCCATGTCACTGACCTTGTTCCGGTTTCTCGCTTCGTCTAGATTAAGGGCCTGTTTGTTTTTGTTTTATGATTTCTTATTCTCAAAACAATTTTATAAAATTGTTTTTAAGAACAAGTTTTGGAAACAGAAAACAAAAACCTTTGTTTGGAAAATAATTTTTAAAAAATCACATTTAAAAAAAATATAAAAAATTATATTTTGACAAGTGATAGTTATCACCGATAATAATAAATAGTAGGTAGTAGAGAAGAAGAGAAGAAGATTTCTCTAATTTTTCAAAACAAAAAAATAAAAAACACAAAAACAAAAATAAGAAAACATGTAAAAGTTGTTTTGGTTTTTCAGTTTTTAAAAACAGATTATTGTTTTTTTGTTTTTTAAAACAATCAACTAAAAACATATTGCCAAACAAGTATTTTTATTTTTCTATTTTTAAAAACAAAAAGTTGTTCTTAAAACAAGAAACCAAACGAGTCCTAAGTTTCTTCTTTTTTTTTTACTTGGTGTTAGACCTGGGCTAAGATGCTCAGGGGTATTTGAATAACCCAGATATTATAACCGGATTGTGTTCACATAACCTCGAGTGTTTCCTTATCTTGGAACGCTCAGCTCCCTTATTCCCAAGGACATATATTGATCTCTGTAATAGATTGATGTGGATGTCTTTGAGCCTCCCCGCTAGCAGTTGAAAGATAAGGTCTCTGGGACTTTCCCCTTCTCTTCTTTGCGCTTAACATAACCCTAATTATTTCAATCAAAATTCCGGCTTTTCGCTGTTCATTCTTTTCCCTGATTGGTCTAATATCTAATTTACCTCAGATAATTTGTTCCTTCTGTTTCTCAGAAGATTGAGAAATATTATGGCCGCAACGTCTATGAGTTTCAGCATAGCAAGCGCATTCAAAGGCCTTTCCTTGGCTTCAAGCTCTTCCTCGTCCTTCTTCAAAGGTGATTGCGGCAGCATCAATGTGGCTCCCAAGCCACTGGTCTCATTCCCCAAGAAATTCCCATTAACGATTGAGAATGCGCACAAGAAAGGAGCTGGAAGCACAAAGAATGGCCGTGATTCCAGAGGACAGAGGCTTGGGGTCAAAATTTTCGGTGACCAAGTCGCGAAGCCCGGTTCAATCATTGTTCGTCAGCGTGGAACCAAGGTGCCGATTGCTTGCTTATCATTATTGTTTTTGTCCTTTTTTTTTTTTTGAAGGTTTGAATTGTTCTCTAAGTTGCAGACAACTGATGAATGTTGAGTAGTTTTCTTTTATATTTTGCAACAACTAAATGAGGTTGGCTTTGGGCACTCTTCAATTTTTTCACATTATTCCACTTCAAATGATGTTTGATTTTGCAGCCAAGATGATACTTGGATAACGACGAGATGAATAAATAATCTTTTGGAACAGTAATTAAAGTGCTCTCAACTTTCAAGCATACTGAATAAAAAGTCTTTCGGAATCCTCAATGTGAAAATTTTATGGTACAGTTTGTGCCTGGGGAGTAGAACAGAATGAACTGACGAACATCTCTAATATCCCATAACTATAAGGTCTTGCTACTAGTTAGCATGGTGCTTGCACAGACTTAAAGAACTTCCTCACGCCAGTCATTTGAAATATTAAGCATGTTGCTATTGAGAAAGTAATATGGTGGCAAAGTTACAACTTAAGCTCAAGTCTGTGCACATTGCATAGCCTTTGATTACTGCCACACACCACTTTTTTAAGGCATATCAGTAGTGCTTGTAGCGCCTTTGTGTTGATTTTTTAAATTCTTCTGATTATGTTTTTTGGGCAACACTCAAGTTTCATGCAGGAAACAATGTGGGGCTGGGCAAAGACTATACGATCTTTTCCTTGATTGATGGAGTCGTTAAGTTTGAGAAATTTGGGCCTGACAGGAAAAAGGTTAGTTAAGGTTCTTAAGTCTTCTTCGGATTATAGTCCAAGTAAGCAGACTGATATATATATATATATATATATAATTGCAGGTGAGTGTTTATCCAAGAGAAGTACAGCCTGAGAACCCCAACAGTTATCGAGCACGGAAGAGGGAGTACTTCAGGATGAGGCGTGAGCGCAAGAAAGCTAGAGAAGAAGCAGCGATAGTTCAATCTCAGCTGGTGCTTGCTTCTGCTGATGAATCTGCAATTGTTAATCCAATGTGTTGATTTGTATCACTGGCCCCCCTCCCCGGTCCCCTCAAAAGTATTGTTCATGTATTAGCTAAGTTTCTAATGGTGGAACAAAAATTAGAGTGGTTCTTTTGCTCGAGTAATGAAATCTACTTCATTCACCCCAAGAGAAAAAAGGAATTCTATTTCACTTTGGGATAACAGGTCTTTGACACCCCACCTTAACGCAGGTCAAGTTGTCCATAATTGATCTTATGAGTTATTATCCTCCAAGGTTTACTTTTTTTTTTTTTCTCTCTCTCTCTTTTGGATATAAATACTTTCATGGTCCTCTTCGTGGAAAGTTCATTGTTGAATACTCAATCTTCTTGATTCTGTGTGTTATGTGTAGTCCGAAAAATGAAGTTCACTGTTCATAACTTGTAAATATGTTTTGACTTGTTAGAATTTTTATATTATATTTGGATTTATGAATCTGGACTTCCTTAAAACTTCATATGGAGATCCTTTGGCTGTTGCTAAGGTAAGGATTCTTGACATAACGTGAAACAGAATTCTGATGTTCTTCCTGTTGCCTCACCTCTTGTGTTTATGCCACTCCTTGTTCAGCTTCGTGCCGACCTCCATTTAGTTCGTTCTAATCTCAGTTCTAAAATGGCAGACGAATGCTTAGATTCTTCAGATGTAAATGAATCTGAATTATTTGGTGGTTTCAACTTTTACTGATTTTTGAGGAGATCTAAAGTCAAGATTTTGTGTCTCTGTGGGTATCTCTTGTTGTGCATGATTGTGTCGTCTTCTTTTTCTGTTGGCAGAAGGATGATTGTGTGATTTTGAACTAATTCCATTAGAAAATGTCAGAACTTCAATTGAAGCTTTCGAGAAATAACTAAATCAAACATGCGATCCAAGTCATGATGGAGTGCAAGGGGTGATTATTTTCTAACGGTCGTCTCATATTGGATTTCTATGCTTAAATCGGGAAACTTCCATATGTGATGTAAAATTGCAAGTGGGAAGTGTTTAACTGGTCATAAATAATTGTGCTTGAATATAAAGCCATCTAAATCATTTAGTTATCATAATTTATTTAAACTATATTATCCCGGGAAGCTTGAATCCGTCAATATCCCTACACTTTTGTGCACCTTAATGTCCATTATTCCCCCAAGAAAGAAACCCACTTATACGCAATTGCAAAAGCCGACTAGCATACAAGAAGGCCATAGCCCAAAGAACTCAGACCCAAAAATAACACAACAAAAACAAACTTAGCCCAAAACGACGCAAAGGGAGCAAGAACGGCAGCCCCCAGAAAAATCATGCTAGAAAACGTGGGAAATATAACTTTTCATCTTGTACTTTGCTTCAATTGTTGATTCAACCCCTCAATTTTGATTTGAAACAACTTAATCCTTGTAGTTTTTAAATTTGAAGCAACTCAATCTATATATGTAGTCTCTTAATTCAGCCATAATTTGGATAAACATGCGCACACAATTTCCCCCCGCTAGCTCTGCTTATTCTTGCCACTACTTGCCAGCATTGGAACCTGAAAAAGAGGTCCCAAGTACAATAGAGGCCCAAAAAAACTCAAGAAAAGAAAAGTGCAAAAGACAATTCAAATATTATTCCTACTACTAATGTGGGATTTATCCATTCTACAAGGGAAATATGGGGCTTGAATAAACTTTTTCTTTAATATTAATTTATTATGTATGAAGAGTTTGAATCTAAATTCTTATCTTACCGGTTTGAGTTAGGTGCAGGTGACTCCAATAATTTATGCAAGTACGTGAGGGGAACTCTCCCCCCCCCCCCCGGGGCCCTTTTTTCCTTCTCTCTCTTGGTACAGAGGGAACTCTTGTTGAAGCAGTCAATTTGTTGGCTAAGTAGTGATCTGAATGGCACCCAAATTTAATAATGGAGGCTCGGTCCTTATCCCTTTCACTTCTTTGTCAAGAAAATGACATTTCTCCTTTTTTTTAAAAAAAAAAAGGATTATATTCTCTTTTTTTTTTTAATGAACCAGAGAAAGAAAAAATGGCTAAAGTTATCTTATTCTTATCACTAACACGACGGCCTCATATTCACACGGATATTATCTAATGAGTATCTACGAGACATGAAAATGACCTCTAATCGAATCTCTTCCCTCATTGGTCCAATCTCTTGACGAAATTGCCCCTTATGGTCCCCCTTCCATTTAATTTTTCCATTTGTTGAAAACGTGCCTCTTACAACATTATATTTTTTCTCCTCCTAAAAAAAATTATTAAATATATGTAAGGCACACCCAAAAAAAAAATGCTAATTCAAATGGTAAACGACCAACCTTTTTTTTCCCAAAAGAAAAATCCTCATGTGGGCTAAGGGATTGGGCATTAACGATTCGGTCGAAACAAAAGGAAGAGCGAAATCTTAAACTGTAAGAAAATGGTTTCATTCTTCCCGTAATGATTTGGAAATTGACCAAACTTTTCTGGGGTCCACCAAAATGGGCAAGGAGAGCGATGGTGAATATTTATTCAATCAGGATTGGATTTTTGTGCTCAAAAAGAGCAAATCACAGAGTGGAATTGGGTGAGACAATGGACGCGACATTTCAATTTATAACCACTCAAACCTCTTGAAACCACAACCACTCTTGTTCTTGTTTCTGTTTCCACGTGACTCGAATTTTCCTACGGTGCCTGTCAAACCTGTTTTCTGACACAGACCACCCTTGTCTCCTACTCTTTCTTTTAAGCATCTAAAAATTTTATCACCACTGAATCATCTTTATTATGTGTGTTTTTAAACCTAGGAACTTCCTAGCCAAGTACCAATCAACAGTTTTAATATTGTTTCAATACACAGAACTGTTATGTGCAAGTTTGTTCATACAAACATGCATACAGGATACTTCTCCACTTTTTTTATCAAGTGAAACTGTCATGAGGTATTCATCTGTTGGAGTATTTTGTTGCTGCTCCTTCTGTTAACTTTAGCTGTTCCATTCACTCACTGATAAAGTGATGAATTGAACATTAGAATCAAACCAAATCAGCTTTTCAAAAAGTTCGAATCTTTGGTGGAAATGAATTTGCTACCATCATTCCTTTCAACCTAATTCATCCAAAGACATAAACATGAAAGTGAAGACTCAGAGTGGCATGATACACATCAAGAAGACATTGCACATAATTGCAATCCATGTATTCAGCGGCTCGCTCTTTCTCTAAGAAGTAAAAGCGATAGAATCAGAAAACAGAATAAAATTGATGCATAAATATAAATGCCCCATTAATCCCATATTTGATTCCCTTAAGATAATAATTTGTGAAATAGTTACATAGTGAACAATATGTTATATGTGGTACAATCGGAAACTTAAATCCAACTAGTCTTTGAAATAAGAAGGGAAGGCCCTAGAACAATTGACTCTGTACTTTTAACACAGTTTGATACTTAAGAATGTCGCTATAAATTTTGATCAAAGGAAGAACACAAAAGCACCTCCTTTTTACAGCAACTTTTAAATTACAACAAAATGTTCTCTCCAAAATAATAGACCCCTTACTAAAGGTTGGGGTTACTATGCTTGCTTGGCTGATAGAATATTAGAACCAGCAGAAGTAGTTGCAGAGAAATTAGCAACATCCTCGGATTTCTTGCTTGGGTTATATGGTGCGGCAGCATTCATCACCCTGCATACTCCAAGAAATGAGTTGGGATTATTTACTCCAACCTCAAAGACATAAAAGGCCAGGTTATCATGAATTACTACCTCCAGGCCTATTTACAAGATATAGTCAAAATTTAACTATAAATTTTTTATTATAAATAAGCCCAGAGTTAGTATCATTATAATGCACTAACAGTGACAAAGTAAAGTTATGGCTTAAGATGTAGTAAGATCGTGTGATCCAAAGCAAAGGTAAAATTCTCAGAAGGAAAACGCTTCAGTAACAAGAATTACGATGATGGGAAATTTTTTTAACGAGTGAATAACGTAACTTTACTAAGAAGCGTAGGTTTTATACTTTAGGAAGGAAAAGCAGCAAGCAAAAAATCTAAATTTCACGGTTTGAATGGGAATTCAACCAGTTTTCACAGTTCTAGGGATCACACATGCAGCAGAGCCATGCAGTTAAGCCACTCACTTAAAAAAATAATAATAATAAATTGCATGGATAATACAGCCACAAGCCTAACCTTTCTTTGCGCTTCTCCAAAAATCGTGCCAATGATGCTTTACGAGCCTGTGGCACAGCTGCATAAAAGATTGCATGTTAGTTTCCCTATGTGAAGTCTTCCGGCATTTGAATTGATTGCAGTATAAGAGACACAATATTGCAAGAAATAATAACAGAATCATACCAGAAGGCAACATAGCAGTTGCATTGACTTTTTTTGGAGGCTCCGCTTTGCTAACAGGAGTCGTGGTGACTCCAGTTGTTTTGGCTGCCAGAAGCTCATCGGTGCTAGTTGAGCCACTCCTTGACTGTGCACCCGTATGTGAAGACACAGATAGAGGACTGGAAAGACCAGGGCAAGGCAATGCATTTAAGGGTTGACTCACAGGGACACCTTCATCTGAAGTCAACTTTGAGTTTGGGGCCTGAACATTCAGCTGTGCCTTGTTAGAAGTCACAGGTAACCCATTCGCAGCCAACAGCATGATAGCTTGTGCCTGCAAAAAGCACAGCAAAATTTAAGCTTTCCCATGATTAAGATATGTATTGCGTATGCACGTTCATGTGTGCGTTTATCCTTTCATTTACGCCAAAAACCACCACAACTCAAAAAGGTTAAATTGTCAAGCAAAGGTCAAACTCTTTAAATGAAAGAATAAAAACTCTCTCACTCGAAAAAAGAATAAAAGCTCAATGAACAATTAACTCAAAAACTAGAGCATTTCAATAAAAACTCATGAATGGCTTTTTTGACGGTCACAATTTACAATGTGTTATTAGTAGGGATAGATGGGGATAAATGTTATACATATACATATGGGAGTAAAACAGGGGGAGAGGGAGATATATATACCTTCTCAGGGGAGATATCATCAAAAACATTCACAGTACCAGCATAGAAAATGGTGAGTTGACTGGGAGGTGCAGATGGCTTCGAACTGTTATTTCAGAACAATATTAGTTAGAGAACAGAGACACAAAAGAGAAACAATTGGCTCACAGATTATTGCTCTAAATTACCATGATTCAGTCATTGCAGCAACAGAACCAATGGTGGGTACCAGATGAGGCAAAGTAACAGGTATACCCCCAAGTAGCTGTTGCTTCACATTATTACCAGCCATATTCTGACCCACAGTGGTGAAATGGTTCTTCAAGAAAGGATGTCCCATGGAAACAGAAATTGCTTGATTGGGAGCTGGAAAGATCTTCACATCTTGAGGTCGATTCAGTGAATGCACATCATTTGGTACAGGATACGGAGTCAGGGAAAAATGAAAACCACTTTGCACATCGTGATTGAAAGGTTTCTAAATAATAAGAACAAAGAATCAAAACAGGGCTTGCCGTAGTAATGCGGGGCAAAAAAAAAAAAGGGAATCAAAATGGGAAAAAAGGACATTAGCTGATAAATTTATGAAGATGAGATCTTGCTGATGAAGTCCATTCATACTGCAAGGGTGTTGGAAAATGGGGCACAGGATTGTATTGTTAATTTCAGATCCAATGGTTTTGCTCAATATCAGATAGAACAGTATATAATAAGGTCTTCTAGTGGGAAACTTCTCCTAAGAAACTAGAATTGACTTCAATCTAAAATACTAATTATAAAACGCAGGAGTCATCAGATCTCATATGGGCAGAACAACGGTTGCAATCATTGAGCAGTCTTAAAAGGCCCTAATGCACAGAATTAGGAAAAGAGGAAGGGTAGTTCCAAACCTGGCTTTCAGCAGCAGAGCGTTTTTGGGCAGCGTCAAATGCATCCGGATTTGAGATAGCCATAAATCCAGCAGATGTGAGGGGATCAGATCCCATCTTCTTGGTCTTGTCGTCTTGAGAAACCTTAAAAGACATCAAATGGGGGAGAGCAGAGACTTTGTTGGAGAAGGGCCATTGTACAACTGAACCCTGAGTGAAGCCTACATATATACACAACACGGCCGACATAAGCCAGACTAAACTTCATGCCTAATTCTTTGCTCAATAAACCATTGCATAAAAGTGGAACAGAGTGAAGGGGGAAAGAATGAATAGCAAAGTTTTACAATTTGGCCGTCTATCCATATTTATGAGCGTATGTGTTTAGTTGTGTCCCTATTTGTAAATCAATAAAAATGGTAACAACAACATAATAAATATTTTCCAAAACTGCTCATTCCACACAGACACAATTCAAATATCCATACAGAAAAAAGGAACCACAAGTTGCCTATCGATTTCCTTCCCCACCAGTGAATCTCCAAACACATGAACCCCTACTAAGTAGCTACTGTATCAAAGTCAAAAGATAGAATTGGGGAAAAATCAAGTTTAATTACGCAAATTCAGAATTGGTTTGATCATTGAATTCCCATCTCGGTCCAGTTTGGCATGCAGCCAGAGGATAGAATCCAGCCAACACAAAAATCAAAAGGTGTTCTAAACGTAGTTCAGATATTTTAGCTCAAAAAGCTCAAAGCATCCAAAATTTGCAAACGCATGTGAAGAAGTAGAAAACGACAGACGGTGAGCAGCTGAATAAGGAGAAGACATGCCTGCTTCTCTGCATCCATCATTGTTAATCTCCTCTTTCACCGTAGCTAATGGTTCTTTTGAGCTTAGGCCCAAGAAATCCCTCTCCATTTGCGAGTAGAAAGCAGAATCGAACGACACCCGCCTCCAGTGTTTACCCAGAACCGTCTTAGTTCTCCGCCGACGAAAGGTAAGCAAGCCTTCTTCCTTCCTCACTGACAGGAACCGGCTATGCGAAAGACCAAAGAGGAGCAAAAGAAAAAGCTTCCAACAACAGAAAAAAGAAGGGAGAGGGGGAGAGAGAGAAACAGGACTCAATCTCTGATACTTCAGAAGGTGGTTTGTGAAATCTTGACCGTTGAATTGTTATTTATAAAAGTGAAGAGAAGCCTGAATTATCAAAGGCAGTTGGTTTACCGGTAAACCGGAAGAGAGACGGGATGGTCCGGTAAAGGAGCACGTGCGAGACCCCATTGATTCACATGTCGGTGATAATGCCATTTTGTATTGGCCCTCACTCGTGACGCTGGTGAAAATTCAAGCACGTGTGTACGACACGTGACCCTTTGGCCCGTGAATTAATTTATGCTTGTGGCTCTAGGACCACGTCCCTACAGATAATTCCCAAATTTTTATAGAGTATAATTATGTACGGGTATTATCAATTTATCTTAAAACAGCAATTCAAAAAGCCATTAAAATTAAAATTAATACTACCTCCGATACTAATTATAAGAGCTAATTGACTAATTTGAAGAGATTAAAAAAATAAGTTAAATTAGTTATTTATAATAAATAGGTATTGTCTTTCCTAAAATATCCTTGTTAATCAAGTATGTTGGCTAAAACTACCATTATTAGAAGGATTATTTTGAAAAAAATTATATAAATATTAGAGATAAAGTAAATTAGGGTCTTATATTTATGACCAAAATAAAAGTCAAACAAGATCTTATATTAAAGATCAAAGCTAATATCAAATATGCAAACTTTTCATGTTTCTCATAAAACCCTAACTCATTTTATTTCTCATGTTTACTTTTTTTTTAAAATAGTCCTTATAATAATATAATTCTAATTAATATATTTAATCAGCAACGGTGTTTTAAAAAACATACTCTATAATTTTTCAAACATTGCTTGCTCATTATATGTTGACACGTATTTGGTAATTAACACTGATATATAAATATATTTTGATGATGAGCAGATTTGAAACACGTGGGAGAAAAGGGCATGTGAAGAATTAATTAGGAAAGAGTCCAGCTGGAGCCACGGCGCGTGCTAGTTGCTCCCAGCTGTACCTTGGCCCTTTCATTTCCTTCTCGTGACTTTGATTAAAACTAAAACGTGGTATGAATTGCTCGCCCTCTTTCATTTTTAATACTACCTCCGGTCCTAATTATAAGACCCAATTAACTAATTTGAGAAAATTAAGAAAAGAAGTTAAGTTAGTTATTTGTAATAAATAAGTATTGCCTTTGCTAAAATATCCTTACTAATCAATTATATTGGCTTGGATTACAATTATTAGAAGGACTATTTTGGAAAAAAATACATAAATATTAGAGACAAAGTGGATTGGAGTCTTATATTTAGGACCAAAATAAAAGTCAAACAGGGTCTTATATTAAGAACCGGAGGTAGTATAAGATACTACCTCCTATTCTAACTATATGACTAATTTAAAAAAATTAAATAAAAAAATTAAATTAGTTATTTGTAATAAATAGATATTGTCTTTTCAGAAATATCTTTACTAATTAAGTATATTGGTTAGAACTAAGGACTTAAAAAAATATATAAATATGATAAACAAAGTAGATTGAGATATTATATTTAGGACCAAAATAAAAATCAAATAAGGTCTTACATTAAGGACTTGAGGTAGTATGATTTAAGAATTAATATTGGTCTTGTATATAAGACTCAATTCATATGTTTATTAATTTTTTTTTAAATTGACCCTATTGATATTTTCTCAACAATAATCAAGTAGATAGGGAATTAGGGAATTAAGAAAAATAATTATGATATTTTAGAAAAAATACTACTCTAGTCCTTAATATAAAACACTTTTAACTAATTTGATTAGATTAAGGAAGTTAGGTAAGTTAGTTAATTATAAAAAATGTGACACATTTTTCTTAAAACACCATAATCATCTTTCATAATACACTCTCTCCTTCTTTTACTTAATTATAATTGAGACAGTATCCATATGGGTAATTTAGAGAAAATTGATAAATATAAGAAATTGGCCTTATATTTAAAACTAAAACTAACTCAACAATTGAGTCCTATATTAAAGATCGGGGGAGTATCATATTAACTTATTTAACTAACATCTTTAATCTACTCAAATGAGTTAATTATATTTTATATTAAAGACTGAAAGAGCGTATATTCTTTTTTTTTTTTTTTATTATGAAATTTTTGGAAAGGGGTTGGGCTCACCCACGATCCAAGGGCAGGGCGAAATCTCCCTTCCTCCTAAGTCATGCCAATGTTGGGCAGGGCGAGCCGTCAATTACCCTCAGGCGTTTACCTAGGCACTCAAGAGTTAGGATGCCTCTCCAAGCGCCGCGACTAGAACCACAATAAAGTGGTACTCCCCAGGAATCGAACACATGCCAACTTGATCATATGTCTCATCCCTTCGCCAACTGAACCCAGGAACGATGGGTATATTCTTTTATAAATGTAAATATGCTCTTGCCTGAAGAGGATATGCGCGAGACAGAAATACAAAAAAAAAAAAAAAAGATAATGTATTAAACAAATAGTACAGCTAAAATCAGTCAAAAAGAAGAATTGAACGAATTCAAAAATTTGAATCTTATAAAAAAAATTTAGAGGGAGTATTATTATTCATTTCACAGTATATTAATAAAATTATTTTTATAAATTATGCATATTGATATTAATGATATCGAACTATCGACTATTTGTGTTTCTTTCATGTATCATGCATAGTTTTTGTTTATAATTTATGAATGATATAATTTAGTATAAATTTTATAATTATGATAATTAGTTAATTTTAAAAAACAATAATTCGTTTTCAAATAATTCTGATTACATTATGATATTATCAGTTAAAGAAAAATAAAATTTTCAGAAACACAAGACTACAAAATTTAATTTACCGGAGTTTATAAATATTTTTTTTGTTATTGAAATAAAAATAAGACGAAGAGATGAAATTAGATATCGATATTCAGATTAAAATATAAAATTCAAATTGGGTCCGATTTTGATATAAATATGTGCATGATTGGAAAATACAGGTGAAAAGAAGTGAATAACTGATGGGAAATAATCCTCCGACTCTCCAGAGAGAAGGCATTTTTTACTTTTATTTATAGGGTAGTGAATTTTTTTTTTCATAAATATATAATTTTATTTTTTATTTATTATTGTATTGAATTTGTTTATATGAGATATTATATATATTAAATAAAAATAAAGTTAAAAATTTATTAAAATTTAAATAAAAATTAACAAAATTTAAAATTTTTCTTAACCTGTATAAAATAAATAAAATAAATTTTTTTATTCTATTCATAAATCATGTTATTATATTTTTATACAACGCTTATTGAAGGCGGACAAAAAGCACGTGGATGGCATGAGGAGAGCCCCATACCATACGGCACCGTGCTGACAATGAAGCGCCATCATCTCTCTCCTATCTTCATCCCCACCACCACGTGGGTTCACTTTTTGCTGGGGAGAATCTCATTAAAGGCCCTCTGTCCCAACCTAATTTTTAAACAAACCCCAAGAAACAAATCTGAAAATGAAAATATTTTTGAAGTCAAATGACCAGACTGCCCATCAGAATTCACAAACTTGCCTGCCCTGATGCCGCAGGGAAAAGACTCCCGCTCATTCATCCGACAGTACAGCAGTAGATATTTTTTTCTTTTGAATAAAAAATTTTAGAAAAAGGGTTGGCTCACCTATGATTCAAGGATAGAAAAACTTTTTATGAGCCTATCTTTACGGGTACAGAAACATGACAAATAAGCCTTTTTTCATCTGACCTAATATATAAGAATTTTCCAATTTTACGAAATTGTGAATGTGCCTTCCCCGACATCTCAACCAGCTTAGCGGACAAACCCTAGTGACCGACCTTCTACCCAGGGACAAGGAGTACAACAGTAGATATTTAATTAGGAAAATGACATTAAGGTCTCACAGAACCAAATATACAGCAAAAAGGTCTCCTGAAATGGCATAATTTTTTTGAAGTCCCAAATGGACTTGTGTGCAATTTTCAGAATCTTCAAATGACTCTCCTGCCCTTGCTAACAAAAACAAAGAGGGCGAGTTGGGTGAGGAGTTTCCTACGCAGTATGGTTGAGAGAAGACGTTGGGAAAGAAGGAAGAAGCCATTGATGATGAAGTATCTTCTTCATTACCATTAATGAACTCTTTCATGTGAATCTCCACAAATCTTCAGGTCTGAAACTTTCTTTCCTCTCCTCTCCTACCTTTATTGACAGATTGTGCATTTATTTGGGAATGAGAAATCAGAAAATCATTTTTGCCTTTGATACTACAAAGCTTTTGTTTTTTGTGTAAGATTCACAAGTTAATCAATGAAAAAGCTGTGTTTTTGGTTGGTGTGTGTTGGTGATTTAAGTTGGGTGTGCAGGATGATTATGAGTGCTCTGTTTTTGGGTTGTTTGTGGGTAGTTTTACTTTGTTCTAACGTTAGTTTAGGGGCAAAGGAAGAAAAAGAGGAAAGTTATTGTGAGTAGAAACCCTTAGCATGAAATGGGATATTGTGTTGTCAATCAGGCCGCGATAGTTGTTAATGTGTGCCACGACAGTTGTCAACGTAGCTCCTTGACTTGTCAATGACAGTTGCGTGATTCTTGATACAGGTTTAAATTACTGATGGCGAGTACATCTAGAAAACATTTATTTTGCTTTGTTCACATAGGGAGAAAGTTTATAAATGATGGAGAAGATGATATGAGATATGTGGGAGGTAGTGTAAGAACAACAAATATAAAGGAGGGCACAAGTTATGAAGAACTGAATGAAATTATATCATCAATTACTGGAAAAGAAAGCAACTCATTTCTTTTGAAATTCTCAGTTGTGTTTGATTAAAAAAATTTTGTACAGTTGGTAGATGATGATGAGGTTGATCATTTGATAAAGTTCAATAAAAAAAGTAGTCATGTGTATGTAGAAGAAAATGGAAATAAGGACCACATAGAAGCAACAAGGGATAATGTAATAGAGGAGTAAGATGTGTAAGTTTAGTTTAATAAAA